GATGATTCAAATGAAACTAGTTCGGCTGTTTATTCCTTAAGCGTGACCAATATTCAGTCGATTGTAGATGTAACCATGAAATTTTGAGGTCGGTTTTATAAAAAAGTTATTTTCAAATTATGTGTAACTTGTAGTTACAACTAAAATAATAATGTGACAACCCTGCGCTTAGAGCGACGACGTGTATGCATTGACGCGCCGGACAGGCGGGAGTTGGACTACTTGACTTATTATTATTAATCTTCTTATACTATGCTGTAACGTAAAGCCTAAAGTGAAAAATAAATCGTACAGTCTCAAGCGTAAAAGTTAAACTTCTATAATAATGACACTGACAGACGCACGAAAACTATGTAAATAGATAAAAAAACTTTAGCACGACACTTTGCAAATACAAAATATTTTAGAAAGTTTTATGATACCTACAAAATTCAGTCTTTGCTGTAAAGACTGTATCAAATGTCCGACTATTATGTTCTTATAATCAGATAAAGCAATTAATTGTAAACTATAAAATTTTACGTAAACCGTGTAATAGACGTGCTCGAAAAGATATAACGATAACGCGTAACAATTTAAAATTGAAAACAAATACGCTTTACTTTTTTAGTTGTTTTGGTACGGTACTGTCAAACGGTCTTTTGGAGTTTGCAAGTTAATAACGATCTTTTGGAGTTTGCAAGTTAATACGTAATACTTCTGATTTGTTTTGTTTTATTTGTGTTTTCAATGTTATTTATAAGCATTTGATAAAGCGTAATGAAGGGGAGTGTTGAATGACCATCATCATCATCAACCCATATTACGTCTCACTGCTGTGCATGGGTCTCTTGTCATGCGAGGGTTTAAGCCATAGTCTGCCACGCTGGCCTAATGCGGGTTGGGAACTTCACACGTTTTCCGAGGGTTGTGAACTTTCTTCGACGTGCAGGTTTTATCCCGATATGGTTTCCGTTACCGAAAAGCTAATGGTAAATTTCAAATTTCGTACATAAATTCCGAGAAATTCAGAGGCGGTAGGTTAATCCATTGGGTTACCACGACTTACATTTTTATTGTATTGAATAATAATACTAGATCATTATAAAGGAGGTTGAAAGTACACTTGAAAACAATATCACGATGCCTCTTATCCACTATAGCCGATAACAGTACCCTAAAAAGTATTGTACAAGGAACGACATTCAAAGAAACCTTTAATTAAGTGAACAACACAAACATGACGACTCCCTAGTAACAACTATTTAATAGAAACATGTCAATTACAACGGAGAACAACTAATTTCATTCAATGTCTCCATCAACTGTGACTCAGGAGGCTCAAATTAGAGCTATTAAGCAGTCGCCATTGTTTTTCCAATACTCAGCTAACTATACGCAGCAATCAGCCGTAAGCTTCGCGTATTATTTGCTTTATGACCCCGTACAATTTTATAGGCGGTAGGTAAGCTTGGTGTTATACATATGGTTCGATCATATCGCGTCTGTGATATAGTATTCATGATAACAGAATTATAGTCAAAAAAATATTACACATTCGCGAAAGTTCTGCATTCAAAAAGTGCGCAATCGAACAAACATTTAAACGGGTCAATTTTTATTTTTGCCAATTACAATTTTCGTTTTGCTCAAGTAATTCGATATTATAAGTGTCTATGGTCTACTCTACTCAATGCTCAAGTCAGGATTTGCGTATGGTTTAAAGCACTTGATATCATACTCAAGTCCCTATCATTAGGGTCTTATTTCCAGTGCTTGTGTTACCAGTGCAATCCTGACTTGAGCATTGAATAGAGTTCTAGAATACGACCGAACTGTACTCAATGCTCAAGTCAGGATTTGAGCAGACTTGAGTATGATTTGAAGCACTGGAAATACGACCCTAATGGCAAGGACTTGAGTATGATTTCTAGTGCTTTGAATCATACCCAAGTCCTGAATTGAGCATTGAGTAGAGTTCTAGAATACGACCCTGATGATGATGATTTCTAGTGCTTTAAAACATACTCAAGTCCTGACTTGGGCATTGAGTAAAGTTCTGGCATACGACCTTAAGATCACTCACTGCAATATTATCGGACATTTTTGGTACACTCACACCAAACGTAAAATTATGTAAAAATTTCAGATCAAATAGATAAGTTGTTTATTAATGGGATTTTTCTCAATTAATTTATTTCTTAGATAGTAAGTCAGTATGACAAGTATTTGATATGGCTGGTGTTCGTTTCAAATATAAAATTTATAAGCAAAAAAGGAAACAACAATAATTATAAGAGAATAAGCACCTCTTGAGTAATTACAAGTAAAGAATATTTTGTTAATTTTATCTGTTTAATATAATTAAACATTTCGTACCTGCATGATTATGTAACTAAATTAAAAAGAGATTTTGAAGATTTGTTGAAAGGATTCTTCTAAAAAATAAGTTAAAGAATTAAACCTACTGCTTATGGAGTTATACAGATACAGGTGATTGTTTATACACTACAAGTCGCCTAGATGACGTAATGCAGGGCTATTGCGCGTTATTGCAATGTTGTTTAAAGACAAGCCTACTATAAAGCCTTATTTTGCTAGTTCACCTTTGTAGGAAAGACTTGTTTGATAGTGTACCTTTGAAATGCAAGAAGGTTGGAACTATATATTACGTGATTGATAGGATGGAGGCTTTTAAGTTCATTATCCCTTTCGTTATTTTTTTTATTAAGATTATGGGGGGAATCGCGCCCTAATGTTCTATTTATGCGACTTCTTATTTCTATATATACATATGTATAAGCTGGGTATAGGCCCCTCGTATGTTGTGCCATCAGCAACGGTCTTGCGGTATCTCAATCTTACCCATGTTCTTTCCTATTTCAGTTCATTCAAAGCGGTTATCAGATATGTATTCCTTAAAGGGATTTATTTTGAATTACAGGTCTGTAAAATTGAACATTTTAAGTTAGAAAAAATATTGCTCAAATTTATTTAATGAACGTACTTAGTACGTAGGTACGTACATAATGGCATTTTGTATTGTAAAATGTAAAAAAACATATTTTACGCAATTAAAAAAATAAATGTGATGTCCTTAATTTTTTTCCAACTTCATAGCTACAATACAAGAGTCAATACATATCCATTTTTCAGGGCTTAGATAAGATTATAAAATGTACAGACAGGTATTAATTGTTTTAAGTTTTCGAAAGACCAAAATTTGTTTTGAAACTTTTGTCAACAACATTGATTTAAAAAAGAAATTAAACAAAAACCTAGTAATTAGCAAAAACCGTAAAAAGATTGTAAAAACTTAATTGTGTTTCTATTACATGTAGGCAGACCCAATCACCGTCACCTCAAGGATTCCAAAAACGGACCTTCGGAACGAACCTGTTGTAAACTTCGTCCTTTTTAAAACATCGCCGCAACAAAGCAACATTCTATTTATTATAGAAAATTCACCAAAATGGAAAATATATTTACAAAACTTACCTTCATAAATCTCCATGTCGATTCCGGCCAAAAATGAAGTTTCTAAAATAATTCGTTTCTATGACGACGCATGACGGCAAACTCTAATTCGATTCCTATTGGTTGTTTGTCAAAAGCACATTCTACATGTCAAAACTATAAATTAAGGCTACCTATTGGCGGCGCGATGAAATGAAAAAGCTCTGTAAAGTGACTACACGTTATGCTACGTAAACTAAGTTCAATAAGTTGTTGGAAGTTCTTTCATAATTTATATTTATATAATAAGTAATGTTTAACTACTTATCTTTTATAAATTGTAACGACTTATAACTACTTATCTTTTATTTGTTAAATTTATAAAATCTTTATTTTTTTAAGCTTTGTTATGAAAAATGCACTATTATGCCTAAAATACAGGTACACATGTACTTAGTTTAGGCATCGCAATTGCACTATTAGGCACTAAGATTAAAATGTTTAATTTTACCATGATTATTTTATATAATTTAGATTTTTTTTTGTTTATTACTGTTTATTTTAATATTTTATCTTCAATTACATTGTTTTCATTATAATTATATTAGATTAAGTCATATTGAAATAAATTTATCTTATCTTATCTTATCTTAATAAATGATCTATAAATATTATGTGTGGGCTACATTTATGTGAACTGCAGCACGTATACACAAATAATGTTGTATTTAACCATAGAGACTTATTTAAATAAACCTATATAATCAATACAATACAAAAATTCTTAATTGTACACCAAAAAAGGAAACAAATACAATACAATTAAATTTAAAAAATAAGCGGTCAAAAAGTAATCACTACAATAAGAACAAAAAATAAAACAAAATGAAAATATTTAAGTGTAAAAATTGAAATTAACCTCAACGCACATTATAAGAACAATACAAATAGGTTTGGTATATTACTGCGAGTGACGTTATTGTCTTGTCGTGATGTGAATGGGAATCTTACAGAAAAAAACTTGTCTATGGTAGACTGATGTATAAAACCGATAGATTCGATAGATTTTCGAAACGTACAGGGTCAAGAGCACGTCAGGCTTTACACTTGAGACCCTATTCTATGGCGCTTACGATAAGAATGATCCAAGGTACAAAGTGTCAAGCTTGATGTGCTCCTGACTGTACAATATACACATGTTCGTAGAAAGTTGTACCAGTAAACATTTTTATAAAATCTGTCCGTGATCAAAAGTTCATTTTACAACACGATTTTGTCTGATACGGGATAAAATTTACAAATTGCAAATCACAATTCGCTTTGTCTGTGATACTTAATCTAGTTTCTTTGTTCAATTTATTATTTACAAAATAGTCTTGATGACGCTTTTTGTTTTCATTATGTTCGCGTATTAAAATTGAATAATTTCCAGAACATTTTTCGTACCTGTTATTTGTTTTGCCTTAAAGAAATATATTTTTTTACTATAAAAAAAACCGTTACTATTCAAGATTCCGTTGTATAGGCAACACTACTGCCAACAAATTAAAAAATAAATACGTCGACGTATTGTCGTTCCGAAGTTTATTATAATACATACTTGTGTTTTTCGTTAAAACTACACACTGACGTGTCCTTACTGGTAACTTAAACTTCTCCTCGTACGATTTAACCATGGGACTAACGATATCAAGCGTTTTCACAAGGCTGTTCGGCAAAAAACAAATGCGTATTTTAATGGGTAAGTGACATATTGACAGCTCATCGGTATACGATTAAAAAGAATTTTTGTGCTATAGAGGTAGTTTGAGTAGATATCATGGAAGTTTGCTTTTCAATTGTTAAAGATTTGTGCTATTATTACAGTTGGGCTTGACGCCGCTGGGAAAACTACTATACTATACAAGTTAAAGTTAGGTGAAATCGTTACCACTATTCCGACTATTGGTTTCAACGTGGAGACCGTAGAGTACAAAAACATTAGTTTTACGGTGTGGGACGTCGGTGGCCAGGACAAGATCAGGCCTCTATGGCGTCATTATTACCAAAACACGCAAGGACTGATATTTGTTGTGGATTCTAGTGACACCAAAAGAATAGCCGAGGCTGAGAATGAACTGGCTAATATGGTATGAATAAATGATAATGTCTTGTGTAATTCTTTATAAGAATCCTTTTGAGTACTGTGGTGAGCTTGTCGTTGTAGATGTAGAATATTTTCCTGTAAGTTGCAAACAAATTTGTTTGTTCTCCATGTTACTCATCTTGTTTCTAATTTTACCCTATTTTCCTGCTGTTCGTTTTTCTTTTCTTGCTAACACTTAAAGTAATATCACAATAGACATTCAGATTTATTAGATTTTTTAATTAAAAATACTGTTTATCATTAAATTTATGCCACTTAGCACTCCAAGTTAAACCAATTCATCATTTCTTGCCTAAATTGTTTAATACTTATCAAATTCTAGACATAATTTAATGGTTAGAGAGAACAAATTCCATTAAATTAAGATATGGTTTTGGTTGGTTTTACCACTAGTTTGATGCTTATAACAATTTATTGCAGTTAAAAGAAGACGAGCTGAGAGATGCAGTTATTCTAGTATTTGCTAATAAGCAAGACATGCCAAATGCAATGACTGCAGCAGAACTGACAAATGCACTTAATTTGAATAATCTGAGGAATCGCCGTGTAAGTATTTAGGCTGTAAATAGTAGTTATAAACTATTGGTTAATGACCAAGATTAACTGACCTATTGCAATCAATGGGCTTGTAGTATATAGCATTATTATTTACTTACGGGCCTACAGTTAAAGTGATATGAACCTGGGTAACTGTTAAGAAAACCAATTGTTGCAATTTGATCGATAGTTAAAAATAGAAAGTAAACATTGACATCAGTATCTACCATATGTATGGTGGCAGTTGTAGATAAGGACTTGGTAAAATGCTTTACAATTTTTCTTAGCAATTTGTACAGCGTTGTTGAAACAGCATTTAAGCCAGTTCTAGGACAACCGTTACTGTAAAGTGATGGTAGATAGTCAATTCTTTAAAAAACTTGTACCACCATTAACGAGGTCATGATTATGCAAGGACAATAGTTGATGTGCAATAGAATACGTGATAAATAGTAATTTGGTCTGATAAGCCACAAGTTTCTTTTATCAATTATTAACAGTCTCCTGACAAATTGAAATTTGATACATATCTTTAGATTTCATTGATTTCCTTATGTTGGCTATTAGTTTTATAGTGGTCGTATTAAACATACTTGTATGAGAATGTATTGTAAAATTTTGTTTTATGTTTTACTTATTATCAGTGACCCATTAGCAATGTGTATAACATTGTTTACTCTTGAGACACAACTGCACTAGAGTTTTGTCAATCAGCAACAAGAACATTGATCACATCTATTGTAATATTGATTGGAATGAATATTATGATGTTATACTTCCATGATATTCATTTAATTTTTGTGAAATGACTCCTAGATTGGTCTCCTATAATTATCAATACAAACATCAAACACAAAGAAAAATTCCTTGAATCTGACAGAGTGACTACTCTATTTTCCTTTTCCGGTTTTAACGGATTTTTTGCCTTAACGCCATCTGTGACAAGTCTATGAAAGTTTTTCTTCACTTAATCAGGTACCTTTGCAGCTACCAAGAGATGTCACTTTATAAATTGCAATATTGTTTGTAATGAATATTATGATGTTTTATTACCATGACATTAATTTATTTTTCGTGAAACTACTTCACTAGTTATTATTAATACAAAGATCGAATGTGCTAAAATTATTATTACAAAGATTGAACACAAAGAAAAAATCCTTCGATCTGACAGGATTTGAATCTGCGTCTATGCCATACCGGGAAACTTTTCTCCGTTCGAACTTAGTATTAATAATTGTAACTGTCTACTATTTCTGTAACTGATAATAAAAATAAGTAAATAACAAACTTTTGTGTTCTAAAACCAGTGGTACATCCAAGCTACATGTGCGACGCAAGGACAGGGGCTGTACGAAGGTCTAGACTGGCTCTCAAACGAACTGGCTAAGAAGTGAGACATAACATAATATTACAGACATTGGGAACAAACATTACATTCCCACCTCTGGCAACTTCCTCATTGTGAATGTTGTATAATCTGTATTGAATCCAAAAGACTATGAAAATTTTATATGTAACTAATTATTAAGTAGGACTGCTTTAATAATATTTACTAAGTACTCTACATATTGTTTCAAAGATAAATTTGCTTAGAGGTGTCAACACACTGTAAACATCTTTAGAGATAAATGGGAGCTTACAACAAAGAAATGCTTGTTTGTGTACTTTTGTCTTTATTGTGTACTTGAATAATGTGTTTGGCACTTAAATATGCAAATTTTTGATAATATTGTTGTTATTAAAGCAGTTTTCTGTTGATTTATAAAATAAATATCCATATATCTATTTAATATTTATTAGGCCTTTGTCATAATACCTCCTACTTTTAAAATTTCTACAATTGTATTTAATTGATTGCAAAATGTTCACAAAATCTGTAAGTCAGGATGAGTTTTAAAGATGTGCTATAGATGCTGTGATGAGGTCAATCTCATTCCGTTCCTGACGACGGCGGCGGAAGTGTTGTTTACGCTATGTACATCGTCAACCTCATCGTTACTTACTATCAAGTGAGACACACGTCAAATGTGCACTTATATTTTTATAAAGTGGGGAAACGAGGGGGGCAGGTTTAAATTTTCGTGAAATGGGTGGGAGTATGGACCTTGGACTTTACTCCTTGGAGCTCTCATTTATCTTGCAACAGCATAGAAGAATACGGCAAAGGCCTTCAAAATGCTATAACAAAATACATTAAATGCAATTAAGGTATATATCGTGAATATTTCGTGAGTTTAATTATAATTTTTCATTAACACATTATAGTGAGATCATTTGAAATGTATAATTACGCATTTGTAAAAATGAAATGAATAGAATTGAATAGCTTATTATTGTTTGTATCCTAACGCATAGATACAATTTCTAATTCATTGCAGTTTAAATTGAGAGTAACAAATGTTATAAAAGTATAAAAATGAATTATTAGTACACTTTCTACGACGCAAACCATAGAGTATTTTCCGTAACGTACCTACACTTCTGGTTTTGTAAGGGCAATGACAAATAAATCGTCCGTTTTCTTTAGTATGTACCGCAAGGATTTGATAGAAGCTGACTTGTTTCTTTGGGAATTTCACACGCTTTTGAGTTCCTGACTAACCTATGTACGCGTTAGACCCCAATTTATCAAAATTAACTCTTATTATAACCGTTAGCACAAGTTTTCATAATTCCCCATTAAAACTGTATCTTATGTTAATGTTGTTACAAGGTTTTATTTGCAATCGAAAAGTTTATAACCTGTGGGAGTGGCCCTGTGCACAATCCAGGGGTACAACGGAAAACTCACAAACAATAGTGACAATAAATTGGTATTTCGGATGATAGAAAACCAATAACTTCATGTTCCAAACACTTAGCTAGATTTATATATGTAACTGTTTTAAATTGATTTTAGTTGAGTAGGGTTTATGATACGCATTTTGTATTGTCAAATCCAAGGTATGAAAGTCCCAATTTATTCTGCACAATTACAATTTTTGTCATCATTTTTAATCGTTTACTAAATAAGTAATGTTATGTACATAATGTAAAATGTATCTACCGGATGTTTTTATTGTCGTGTGTAGCATGCCCTTAATATTTCATGCTTTGGATATGCGTTCAAGGTTCATTACGATAGTGGCAAATAAAGTTAGGTGTAAATAAAAAGTCTTTTATTTTTTTTTAACAACATACGTTTTATATAATAATCGATGTGCAGTTAGTGAATCTTTCTTGACAGACACGCAAATTCGCAACGCTAAAATCTACGAACAAAATAACTGGGCCGTTCCTCCAGCAATATGCATCAAATTTGAAACTAGCATATTTATTATAAAGGCTTGTTTAGATATAGGTACGCGATATTCGCTACTGCTGTACCCTGTGCAAATGTAGAATCCCAAGTTTTAGTGGAGTTGTAAAACAAAACAATAATTTAAACAATGTGTTATTTAAACCATGTTGCCTGAAACCCGCGAAAAAATGTAAAGTACTTCCGTACACGAAGACAACGACGACTTAAAAAAATATTTGGTTGCATTAGTTTATATAGATTTAGTTATTGGTAATAAAGAATTTATTTCAAACATGCAACTATCTTTTATGTATGACTCCAATTAGCCTTCCGTTTTTCAACGAAACTCCTAATACCTTCTTGTCCATCATCAGCATTAATATTTTTTACCATTATTTCTTCTCCTAGCTTATAAGCGTCAAATATACCTAACTCGATTTGCTTATAATAAAATTGTTTCCCTAAACCTATGACACTGCGGCTTTTTAATTTAATTTTCTCGACGATTTTGTTGACTTCTTCGTCCAGTTGGTTTGCAGGTACTACTTTTGTGACGAGACCGCTCTCGTATGCTTGTTGAGCTGTCAGTGGTTCTCCTTCAAAGAAGTTCAAGTTGGTTACGATTATCATAAAAACTTTTTTCTTGTTCATGCAAATAGTTATGTAGCATGCAAATCATGTATCAAAATAACACAAGAGTCGAGTGATTATGCACTGCTGTGCTAGATATTAACATCATTAGATTGGAAATTTGGTACTTGGAGTAACGGGCTGGTGTCCGAAACTCGACGTCAAGGCGCCTATTTTGCGTGATTAGATTGGAAATAACCTAGATTTATTTAGTTGATTGAATATCACGATATTTTACTACCATATTAATTTTTTTTTGGGAACTTACTCCCATAGTTTGTTATAATCATTAACACGAAGATCAACACTAAGAAAAATCCCTTCGATCCAACAGGATTCGAACTCGCGCCTTTAACATACCATGCCTGACACTGTGCTGAAAAAGTTGGTTTTCTTAGTGTTCGATCTTTATGTATTATTAATAATTAAAACAACCTAGTTTCAGTTAATAATTATCTACTTATAATATTATGAAAAAAACGTATGTATACCTGTTAACAACATGTACATTGCTTGAGATTTAGGCACAGATCTTCCAACAGCTATGCCTGGAGTTGAACAGAATATTCCGAAATTTGCGCTGAAATAAAATTAAAAACAAAACCGTTTTATGGTCATCAAATGCCTTTAAGTTATACCACACATTTTAAAATGTAATAATTGGCCAGTGAGCGTAACATATTTGTAATAAAAAACTTCAATTTGTAGTCTACAACTCAAAATTTACAGTATAAATTACATGTGTGACTAGTTAACGCGATACAAATAGAATAACATATTCATGAATAGTCTTGAAGACTGATCCATATACCAGTAATTATTATTTGATTATGCATGAAAGAGCAAAGCCGCGAAGTAGCAAAGGAATTTACTTAATTTTTATTAACAGGTTTTTCGCAAAGTAATGCCTGAACGCATAAATTAATTATCAAAATGAACAGTAATCTTTTTTACGATAAAGTCGTAAAAAGTTGTTGTAGGAACAAAATAATTATTAACATATTTAATTATAAAAAAAGATCTCAAAAGTTTGTGGAATTATATCTATGCCAAGTTTTATTGAGATTGGTTAACGGAAAGTGGGTGAAATCCAAGAAACCGGATTCATCCCCTAATTTGCCACCCTTGTGGGTGGCAATAATTAGGTGGAATATTACCTCAAATTTAAATGGAACTACTACTGAGGGGTTATTCTTGTCTGATCACATACAAATGATCCACTCTATATTTTGCAACTCCGGAACAACGGAAGCCATCATTTGTCTTTGTAAGATAAATACAGGCAAGTGTAAAAGAAGTTTTAGAATCAAATAATCATTTAATGAGCAATTTTGACCAAATGTTCAATGGCCTCAGTGGCCGAACGGTTACCATGCTAGACTGCCACGCCGAGGTCCCGGGTTCGATTCCCGGGCCGGGAGAAATAGTTGTATGGCCCACATTAATTTCTCACGTGAATTGGGTGTAATTTGTGGTTGTCTACTACTGTGGTGTGTCCATGGATCCGCGATACAGGGTTTCCCTAGTGCGGGGCTATTAGTGTGTGTTATTTATTACAATTAAAAAAAAATATTTTTTTTAAGTTGCAGGTTTTTATTGACATGTTGCAAATCACAAGTGACGAAAAGACTGATTTTTTTTAGAAAAACTCGGACTTTAAATACTCCCGGACACGTAAGTCGAGCCACCTTGCTTGCATACTGAAAATCAGTATTAATTGGCCTAAGCTTAAACAATGTTTGATTGATCGAAAACTACTAAGCTATTTTGAAATTGGCGTACTAAACGTCATTTCCATAAGTCCTTGTTGATAATTTGAATTTAGAAAATCGAGAAAAACTGTTTTCTTCAGTGATAACAATATTTTTGAGTTCGGCCCTTTAAGAATAAAAATGCAAGGTGGCTCGATTTATATGTCCGGGAGTATATTACTTAAGACTCTTATGTAATATTTAAATTTAAAGTTTTTCTAAACTGTGACTATTCATTTCACATAGGATGGGTACGGTGACGGTGAAAAAAAAAATCGATTTAGATATCGAGATAATTTGTAACGAATACAAAACCGATTTAGAGACAATAATTTAAGAATAATTAATAAACAAATCAAAACAACAACAACCAAACAAAGTCTACGACAAGGTATATAATCTCAGTACATAGTACTAAGAAAACCGACCTCCAAAGTACGTGGAATTACATCTATATGCCAAGTTTTATTGAAATATCCCCTAGTTCGCCACTATACAGGAATTGACATAAAATTCGGTTCTCACTACTCAAAGTATATTGAGAGAGAAAAACGACTAGAATTGGAGAATAGCAAAACCAACCATTAAAATAATTGCTTTTTAAGTAAAATTTAGGCGCTATTTATAAAAATGAATGTTCATGCATGATCAGCCACCCTTAGAGGTGGATGATTTTCTTCAAAATGAAACGGGACCACTATGGAGGTACCCTCTTACCAACAAAAAAAGAATCATGAAAATCGGTTCACAAATATCGGGGTTATCGCGTAACATACACACAAAAAAACATACAGTCGAATTGAGAACCTTCTCCTTTTTTTGAAGTCGGCTAAACAACATCGACGAAACGAAGCACAATTACTTCAAAAACATCACACAAAGCCAAAACTACTCGCATACAAGGTGCATGCACTCATATTGACGCGAGATACACAATAACCGATTCAATTTATCGATTATATGTTGTAAATCTCTACGGACAAGGCTTTAGACATCGACTAGTTGGGGTAATTATTTATTTTTGTGTTTTATAATTTCATTTTCTATCTACTTATTACTGTCATTTTTACTTAAATTACAACTGCAAGAAATGTTGTTTGTTTTTGGTATATTATGAATTATTTATAACAAACTCAATATTTCTTTTTGTAACTTGGTTGAGAGATAAGAGTAGTATGCGTGCAAAGTAAAAGTTTGAACTGTCACAGTTACACATCGTATGCGAAATGGCCTATATTATCTGTGATATTCTTAGTTAAAAGTTGGTCAGTGACGTGTTTGTGCCATAGGTCCTTTGCTATTTCTTTTGTTAATCATCGCCTTTATTAGTGGGTTAGTTAACTGTAGTTAATTTATAAAAAATTATATGCACAATTTGAGAATAAGCGTCATCTCTTAGAGCTTTTAAAAGATTTTCTTGTTGACTGTACCACACTACCTACCTACCAAAAATAAGCTTGTAAGAACCAGGGTATCAAGTAAGATGGGTACAAATATATTTATTCTGGATCCCCTGCATAGGGGATCCGATGGGAATAGAGAATAATATAAATTAAAACGGATCCACCAGGGGAGCCGTTATATGGGGATCAGATGGGAATAACGCCTACAGCTACCGCCTTTTCAACAAAAGAAAATCATCGAAATCGGTTTACAAAAAGTGCATTCTGATCGAGAACTTCCTCCTTTTTTGAAGTGGGCTAAAAAAGTTTTAAGTTTTTCATGATTATTCCGAAAAATCATCTAACATAAAAAACTAAGATAACGTGACGACTATGGTAGTGTTTATTTTGTTGGTAAAACAATCCAATTCGTCCTCAGTTTACGTTTTTGCCGTCAGTCATACATTATACTTATAGCCTTAGCTTATAGCTTTATTTACCCAGGTGTGGAGAATTTACTGGTGTCGGAGCAAACGATCATATCGCAGGTGGCTACAAGCTGACACCCCGCGGCTGTTGCGAATCCATTTACCTGAAATGTTATCGAAACATGAGATGTGTGTGAAAGGCAATTTTATTGAAAATTGTATTTTCTATACATGTTTTATTATTATTACCTACTGAAATTTTGTTTAAAGATGAATCATTGCAAAAAAATGTGATTTTAGTCATATCATATAGGGGATAGTTTACCGTCACAAGATTCCAATTCCAACGCGCGATTTCTGTAGGCAAAATGTGATAATCTTTGTCGATACTTATCGATAATGAACAATGGTGGCCATATCTACAATGTTCAGTGGATCCTTAGGTATTAGATTTTTGTTTTGAATATCAGTGAAATTGTTGATAATTTTATGAGTCTATATTATGTTACCTTTGCAATAACAGGCACTGGGCTCAGAACTATGGCCTTCATTAGTTCAGTGGCTTTCTTGAATACCAACTTGTGTTGGTCGATGCCTTTGTCGATGTGCTGTAAATATTTTATTTTTACAAAATATTAAAACGCCACTCCATAGTATAATATATTTATTGTTAGTTTGATGATTCATATGATTTGGATTTTAACTACAATTTTATTAAAGCTCTCAGCACTTCGTACAAGTGCGAATAAATAAAAAAATGTATATCTATCGAATAAATGTGCCCGTATACAGGTAGGTAACGATACCTTAAAGGGGGCTTCATTATCCTGAATTGCAATCCGCCTAGCCGTCCGCCGCGGAAAGCAGGCCCCTTCGGCCGCGTACGAAACCGGTGGTTCATAACCAGTTGCAAAAGTCACAAAATTATTATGAATGTATCCGCGGCGTGCAAGCCATCCTGCAATACGTCTTGCGAGACTCCAAAGCATATGCCATATGCAGGATAGTGAGTGGGCCGTTTAATGGTCGATTTTGTACTCTTGTTGTATGCTTAGTGCAAGAATAAACACTCTTTTAAATTCCGTTATAAGGTACAGGGTTAAAAGCACGTTAAGCTTGACACTTAAGATTTAAATCCAACTCTATGCCGCTTACGATAACAACGGTCCAAAGTACGTACAAAGTGTCAAGCTTGACTGTACCTTTACCTGGATTGATTCATACAGCGGTAGATTACCAATTCTTTTAAATTATGTCCAGCAGAAAATACATTCCCTTTAGCGGCTAGCACGATGGCTCTCAAACTTTTGCTGTCGTTGTTCTCCTTTATAGCCATTGTGAGGTGGTCCATCATGTCCAGTGAAAGGGAATTTCTTAAAGTAAATACATAAAGAAAATTTGGTTAGCAATTATTCATAAAAATACCTAATATTTCAAAACATACGAGGGAATTACAATGTAGGTATCGGATAATGGTTACGATAACGGAAACAAAAAAATACATTGTAAATTCTATTGTTTCTGCACGTAGTTTATGTTTGATTTGACGCGCTCGCCTTAAAGGCACTATTCATTGAACAATTTCGTCTTAAATTGTGATGTTAGCCGACTCATCCGACATTTTTGACGTATAATAAAATTTATATGTTGATTGACATTGACATATCCGCTAACCTAAACATAGTCTTACGTATCCAATATTATTCGCTTTAAATGCGGCGGCGCTGTTTTAATTTCAAATAGATGGTGCTTCTTACGAATAAACCCTCATCCTTAGACTCTACGACCATTATGAAGTGTTATTATTTATAATTTTTAGTACTAGACGCTTCATAGCAGTGCGTTAAATACCGTTACTGTTGCTTTGATATTCTATACGTAACCGGCGTTAGCACTCCATTATATATATCTTAGATTAACCAGATTTTGCGGAATTTTAAAAACTTATTTAAGTATTGTAATGTCAAAAGGAACAAAAACTGATGTCAAAAGTATTTGACAATACTATGACAATATTCTACAAACTTGGTTTTTTCATGGCATAATGTGATTTCTCTTGTTCCATTGCATTCATTCGTAGTTAAATATTCATCATGTAGATTCCTGCGAAGGACTAGAATCTGCCTTAGACATTTTCTCTGCAAAAAAGAACGCAAGTGGGTAACCACAAACAACTTGTTTACAAGTTTTTGGAACATTACAACCTGTTAGTAAACCAAATCGTAAACCATAATCATTCATCATGAAAACAATAATATCTATGTACTTTTGAAAATCACTTACCTCAATCATAGAAATAGAAAGCATTTTAAAATTATTTCGAACAACCTAAATCTTCTACTTTTTGTAAACAAGTGTCACAAACTACTAATACAAGTGTCCTTATCACAGCTGTCACTTCGGGGCCACGAGTTTGACGTTTATATATTATTCTAAGTTTATATACATGGAATATAGTTGGTATTCCGTTTTATAAGACTATTGGTTACCTAGTAATTATTAAGTAATCTGTGCTATTGGTAAAAACAAGGAGCGATAAAAGTAACAAATCTTTTAATATAAGTTTCATATTAGTTTACTTAAATTGAAATAATCCATAAACAGCGAGTTCTACACGATTAAAATCTTAGAATATTATAACATTAAAATATTGTCCTCTATAATGGTTAAATGATCTATACGTACTAATTAGGGAGTCGCCAACGCGGAATCATCTTAATTAATGCGATTGTGTTTAACCCTACTTGTCGCGTTAAGCTGGTTCGCCGTTGACGCTGCCATTCGCGTGCCGTCGCGCCAGTTGTTTCTGAACCAGGGGGTCTACTCTCGATCTCCGTCCGAAACAATTACTGTCAAATAAGTAATATTCGACAAAATTAAACGACAAGTATCAAGTATGAAGCTTCATTCGCATCACGCGTCTTTTCATTTGGTCAAGTATTGCTTATTTGGCAGTAATTGTTTCGGACGGATGTCGGACTGAGATCGAGAGTAGAACCCCTGAGTCGCGTTCGTACGCACCGATGCGAAACACAGAACATCTTTTTCACTCTTACTCTCATGGACAGCTTTTTCTGATCGAATATATTAAATAAAAGTTAATTATTTTCTTATGGTTATCCCAGCGTCACCATGACCGAGTTTCGAAAATCGCACCAGCGCAGCCAGTTAAAAGCCGCGATTAGTCGCATAAAAATAGATATAATCGTCAGTATACATAATTATATGATGGAACTACAGCACCTAGCTTAGATTCACGATTGAAACGGGTATAGTCGAAAAATTCCAGAATAACAATAATAACGCACACACTCAACACTAGGGAAAAACCCAGTATCGCGGGTGCCATGGACACACACAGACAACCACAAATTACACTCAAACTCACGAGAGAAATAAATGTAGGCCATACAAATATTTCTACCGGCCCGGGAATCGAAACTGGGACCTCTTCGTGACAGTCCGGCCGGCATGGTAACCGCTCGGCCACTGAGGCAGTTACGCTGCTTTTCTTCTAAAGACATTAAACATCAAAATTTTAAGAATTCGGCAGACCGACTAAATAGTGTAACATCTACTTATTTGCTACTAGAACGGATTAAACCGTGAAAAGTAAAGGACCTTTGTGCTGCTGAGCGTTAGTAATTAAAATAAATAACAAATAAAACAAAATATAAAAATATACATTTATTTTTGACGTACAATGTGAGATCATACTGATTGATGATTATGACATTGAATTTTGAGACTGATTTACAAATCCCATCAACTTAATTTCTATTTAAACAGAATGAGGGTTCACGGATTGTTTCGTTTCTGGATATTAACATTTTATTGCTTTGATTTAATGAAATAAAAGTAAAAGACGACCATTAAAATAATGTTTTACATACAAACAATGTAAAATCACAAAATTCTTAATTAAATCGAGGGCGAGTTGATTGCTATGTAGTCTAAAGCAGGCGGAGAAATTAGACATTTTATTGAATATTATATCAACGCGCGAAAGAGTGTAGCTATATACAAAGTTATAACTATAAAAATACTGCTGGCCTTTTTCGTCTTTGGTAAACTATTACGGGCAGTTGCTACCTCGTTATACATAAATATGAATTATTTACGAACTTTTTACTTCAAGAGTACATATTAATATTTGACTTTATTTATATGTGTGTAAATGCCTATCAGAAAAAGAACAAAAAAACGACTTATTTTTTATTTATATACCCTAAATATTTCTTAAAAGATTCATTATTTAATTGTCAGTCAATTTACACGATCACTCCCTATGTTCTTACTTATAGTAACATAGTCGAACGTTTAGGAATTGGCTTCTTGTTCTTACAGAACAGCAGGCAACTGCGTAAGGCGAATCAGAGCAGTGTTGCTGTTTAAACCACTTTTTCTATGAACTATCTGTCAAACTTTAAATTGTACAATTTAAACTAATATTTCTTCTAATTAATGACCCGTTAAAGTGTTTAAGAAAACTATTTCTGTTAGTTTCTAAAGTGTACAAGTAAGCGGAGAATAAAACATATTTATAAATTCCAGTAAAACGAAGCTGTATTAACGGTTATTCTCTGATAAAGAGCGAAGTATTGATTATACACAAGTATGTGTACGTAATGCCCAAGTAATATATTAATTACAATAAATCGTCAGGCTTTACTTTATACACTTCTTACAAACAGTCAATTGAATAAAAGTTGAGAAAATATTATCATGTATGTTCTAATATTGAACACTAGACACAGATTGGTCGGAATCGGAAACATCGTCCAGGTATTCCGCGCCTTCGTCTTCCGCCGTTATTAGGTCGGCCACAGAACTGAAAGTAAACCAGTTTAGTAATTTAGTAAACCTCAAGTAGTGAAATTCGCCCATTTCGAACATGAATGGAAAATAGTTTTTTTTTTAATTTTTTGACTGTCACGTTCGCACAGACAGACGATTCCCAAAGTGATCCATATCGACCCCTAGGGGTCCACTCCAACCGGAAAAGGGTCCATGGGAGCGTAAAGAGTAATTGGGAATATATGCATGTAAATGGAGGTCCACGATAGTGAATCCCTTTTAGGCAGGCCATGACCAAAATTTCGGCTTTCCATAAATGAAATAATCCACATTATACAGATAGTACCTTTGTATGTAAATACATAATATTTTCTTGTAATACACATAATTGCCTATGAAGTAAAAATATCACAACAAACAAGATATTTGGTTAGATAAGTATGTATAAAATATATCTTATTTTGTTAAGTTTCTCACTGTTACACTAATCAGAGTGTTTACACTGAAGTTCATGAATTTTTAACAAATTCTATATTAGAAAGGCAAGTCAGGAGTCTACGCAAGACAGGAATGTGGCAAGTGGTCTACGAGATAAAAAAGTTTGGGAGCCTCTGGCCTGTATACTGCCTTCAAAATAATCAATTATCGTTCAGTAAATAAATCTGCTTATTCTGACATTCTAAAAATGTCGAAGTTACATCGTTTAGGAAATACAGAACACGGCAGTGAAGTCCAATGAAGACAGAAACAAATCGCTTAGTGCGAATTGATGAAACGTCTATAAAGCTTCACCCTTTTAGACATCGCGCAACTTTCCGAATCTGTTTGAACTCCGTTTACTACACTAGAATTTGGTTTCGTACTTACTTCAAAACGCACTGTTCAAAGTCACTACGTGGTGTCGCATGATCAGACTTGCTCATGACCTTGGAAGCTAATACTTGGTCCAGTAACGAGCGCAGTTCAAACAATAATTGTGCTGTTTGTCTCTGACACCGCACTTTCGCTGTTGATATTGAAAAGTTAACTTCATCGTCCAGTGTTTTAAGCACAGGTACAAAATCTTCGGATTCCGCTGAAAATGCAAAATGTGTTCTAAAGTGGTGGCATTTAAACAAAAAGTACTTAAAAACATTTGCTTATTAAAATACGCACATAAGCACGCTTTTCAGTTTAAGCGTAAGCGTTGTTCAATTCTATATTCAACAATTTGATTTTTTACAACGTGCTTATGTTTCAAGTCCCACCATCTATGTTTCCTAAACAAATTATTTCGTCAATGTGAATAATAATTTTATAAATAAAAATAAGACTCCTGTTTTACAAATAAACTTACGTACCTATCTTAAAACCTTTAGTGCTCTACTCCTACTTTTCGCTAACAACACAACGTTGCCAGCTTTTTTTAACATAAAAGTCTACGCGCTTAAACGTTTTTCTAAACGATTTTGTATGCTTCAAACTATAAAAGATAACTGAAAGGCGTTTAGAAAATCACGTGTATTTTTAAAAAAAAAGCACATTTTAACGTTTACAAAACTAAGCAGTTTTTCCCATCCCTAGTAGTGGCAATAAGATAAGATGGAAGGACTGGCAATCGTGAAGGTGTGTCGTCCATTTCCGGCCCAGATGAACATAAATTTCCTAAAACTACAGCTGCTCTTAGAGTCGCCTAAAATTGCCGCAGCCATGCGAAGCTGTAATGCATTAAAACGAGAAAGACAAAAGGAAAAACAAAAACTCTATTTTGCACAATATAAGGTTACATTTTTTGAAACAAAAAGTGAAAACGAAAATGCTACGTATCCGCGTATATTTCTTTAATTTTGCATAATATTTTTCATCGCGTTTTTAATTTTGCAAAATATTATATAAAACAAATTACTTACAAAATAAAGTTTGCATTCAAATATAGTAATAATCAGTTTCTTCTGTTTATTTAGTAGAAAAGAAGTTCTATATCGCATTGCTATCTTCAAAGTTCGCACTACGCAGCCCGATGTCGCTTAACAGATATCTGCCTTTCAAAGAAAAGCATTATTGTTGAGGAGCTACATTACATTTTGCATTGCTCGTAGCGGCACAAGCTGCCGACGACAGAGCCGCGCAGCTTTAGAGCGTTTCCGCACTACGTCCGATTCGTATCTGGGGGTCTACTCTCGATCTCCGTCAGACATCCGTCCGAAACAATTACTGCCAAATAACAATATTGGACCAAATGAAAGGACGCGTGATGCGAATGAAGCTTCATACTGGATACTTGTTTTTTAATTTTGTCGAATGTTACTGATTTGATAGTAATTGTTTCGGACGAATGTCGGACGGAGATCGAGAGTAGACCCCCAGTTCCGAATCTGAGAAATGACGGTCCGAAATGTCACAGGGATCATTTTATCTCTCCCTTATATTTAGGTGTACAAGCGACATCCGAAGTGGGTCAGTTTTCTAGATTTGTATATTCTACGATTCGGAACGAATACGAATCGGATGCAGCATTAAATAAATGTAATCTTATGTTGTAGATAAATTTTATATAGCATTGCCAATTTTAAAGCATCGAAGCGTTAAATCGCCTATGGCAATTTGAGGAGACTTAAAGATTATCGTCAAATACCGTTTTCAAATCGCTGTGAGCGTAACATTTTTGATGTCAGTGGTATGTTTAAAGGAGTTTCTACCTTAACACAGTGTTAACAGACATTCAACCCTTGTTTATTATCATCTTTTGGATCTGTAAGGTCTACGTTCTAGTCGCTTACTGCAGGACGATATAGCTCCCAGAAAAAAAAAAACTTACGACAAACTTTCAATTCGCCAAAAAATAGCAGAGGCAAAGTGTAGATAATGCTGACTTCGAACAAATACACTTCACTGGTCTTCTGTTTTAGCCAATAGACCATCCAGTTGCCTCCAGTCACCCTCATTGGCTGGTTGATTCGAGCGCTACCAGCAATAACGCTGCTGGGATGAACGAATACATGACTTTTTTCTGCAGTCACAACGCGGACTGCCCCTGGCCGTTTCCGTCTATTATGCCATCTGAAAGGAAATAAAATTATTACGTATTAATTGTTAGGGAAAGTTTTGATACTATGGTATAATTATTTTCTCGTCCCAGATTCTGCCATAAGTTATTCATCTCGTATTGATGGTATTTCACACAAACAGTACAGGTTAATAAGCTAAAATATCAGGTACATATACGTGATATCCTATAAGAGCGTAGCATTATCGAGGCGGGACAGTGATATTGCGTACTGTCTCGCACTTACCAGTAAGGTATGGCTTTTTGTGTATGCGCAGGGCTGTGCACTACTGCAGTTGATAAACGCTATTGATATAGATGACGTTTACATTTGTTGTAACAGTGAAAATAGAAACGGAAATAAGAAATAATTTATGTATTTGTAAATACATACAAATTTTATATACAAAACTAATTTAAAAATCTAAAACGATAAGATAAAGGCGTGCGAAAAACTTCCTAACTTCACGGGATCTTTATTTTCAATTTTAACACATTATTAATAACAATTGTAAAAATAGAAAAGGTTGCGATATTGAAACGATAGCAGATAATAAATTATAGTCTTGAAAACTGGCATCCCTGCAAATGTCATTTGACTCTGTCTTCAAAAAGAGACATTAATCCTCCATTTAAAGCCTTCCGAGGTTCATTCGAGTATTTTATTAGCAATAGAGCTCCTTGTGAAAGAGTTCGTCCAGGGAAATACTGCCACCTTAGCTATTTCTGCCGCCAAGCTGTAATGTGAACATTACTGCGTTCCAGTTTGGAAGGGTAAAGGGAAATGGTGAAATTACAGGCACATGGGACTTGTCAACTTATATTTCAGCGTACCTGACGCATTTGCAGTGCCCCTAAGATCTTTGCGATTTAAAGCTCTGTGACACTGCAACTGTTGTGGATAAGCGTGTCGCTTACCACCAGGCCTACGACTTGTTCGTCCTGTCACATGGTATTATATTAAAAAAATCCTTTTATTTCTTTGTAACAAAATAGGCTTTACTTATAATTTTGACGAAAATTAGTTATTTAAAACATAATATCACAGAACATGACATGGATAGGACTATGCACCATAAACTGCAAAAGTATATGGACTGAATCAACGCACAAGGACTGCTTCAGAAATAGTGCAATGTAATTTCAGTTACTTCGTATGATAATATATAATAAAAATAACGGTTATAATTATGTAATCGGGATGTATTTGCACGTTTAGTCTTTTCGTCAAAGTCAAGTTACGCTCATTCGTTTTGAAACAGACGATTTTTTAGGCCACCCTATTTCTATGATGGAGAAAAACGTAAACTTTGTCTGCTGCATATAACTTACTTCACAGAAACCACATTGGGGTACAGAGACGCAGCAACAATAGCTTTGAACAAGCTGAGATTGTCCGCGTTACGGTTCTCCCATCCGGATTTAACATCCCCTGATGCCAACCACCCCATTTGTCTTAAACTGTCACCCAGTTGCGATTTCATTTCGGATAACAGCTCTACTGTACTGTGCGACAGAAAGTGTTCAAATGCGAATGAGTATCTTCTGTGTGGTGACGCTTTTTCCCATTGGATAATCGCTTCAGAGATAGCGACGTGATCGCTTGGTTCCCCTTGAGATAGACGTATTCGAACTGCATCGACTTCTCTTTCTTTTCCTGTCGAAAATTATGAAAAATATCTATACTTATCCATGTACGTATTACTGCGTGGCATTTTATATTTAACGATATTTTAAGGAACGATTTATCACTGCGAATGACATAACTTAGCGTTACCTATTACTAGGTGACAAATGACGGGTTTTTGAAGTTACGAGTACAGTTTTTACAAAGATTATTTTTATTTTATGTATATTATGAAGACAAAACGAAGAAAGAAATAGTGATGAAGAAAGTTAGAACTATATTCCTTATTTTAAACTATCCTGAAAATTCCACTAATTATGAATTCAAAGTTATTGTTCAAAGTGATAAAAGATAATGTGATTTAAGTGAAAGTAAAACATAAATATTGACTCCCGCCACTTAAAAGACTATTTTAATAAGCCCAAATAAGTGAACTAAGTTATTTATGACAAAGTGAAAATATAATGTATTAGAATTTAGAACTACAATGGTAAATATTACTGAGGATCCCGATATATAAACGAAGACATGGCTCAAAGGACTTGTATCCAAGCCAAAACTATTAATAAAAAAAAACTATTACTAGGTCCCGAGTTCAATTTCCGGGCCGAAATAAATATTTGTATAATAAAATTAAATATAGGCCATTTATTTCTCTCGTGAGTTTGGATGTAATTTGTGGTAAAATAAAAATAAAAACAAACATAAAAATATACATAAAAACATACATAAACATAAAAATAAAGTACAAAATAAAAAGGTAATTTGTAATAATAGGTATTGAACTTGCAATAATATGCCAACTGGCTAAAGTTTAAATTATATTTACAGTCCAGCCCTCGTAGCATGGCTACGCATGATAGTCGCGACACGCGCGATACAATTGGAATAAGCACGCGCTATTGACTGTCTCAATCAGATCTAATTTAGATAATAATAATAACAACACACACACTCAACATAGATATACATACATACAACATAGATAGCTAATAGTGCACGCTTATTTCAACTTTATCGCACGCTTTGCGACTATCATGCGTAGCCATGCTCCGGGGGCAGAATTTGTTACATCTTTTTAAATTACAAACTACGACCAATAATTGTCATAGTGTTTAACGCATGATTGTGTGAGTTTTGGCGACAGCGGTTCTGATAGTAATGTGGCTTAAGGCATTTAAATTGTTTTTTTTTCTTCTGTGATAACAGAGCTTTAAAATATCGTGCAATAAAAAATCGCCTTTTATATTAATCTACGTGTATAAAATTAAATGCACTTGGCCAACAAAAAAGATGGTCCACCAGTAGGGCTATAAAGCGACATAAAGCGCGAGATCTCTATGCGAGAATAGCAGTATCTCGCGCTTTTTGCCGCTCTCGCGCTAATCGCGCCCTAATGTGCTTGTCGCTTTCTGCCGCCCCTCTATTTTCACAATTACAAATCGTGCGGGCAGGCTCGGCTCGATCGTGTTTTTATGTTTGTGTTGTTCAGGATATTGTTTTCTCAAATAGTGTAAATAATTTCGACTAGTTAGGTCTCGGCCGCGCTCGCCCCCTCCTCATTGCTGTACCTCCACGCTATGCCACTGCATGTACTCAAAATCAAAATATTCAAAATTTCATAGGAAAGCATTATTATACTTGAAATCGTCACATTGGTTAAACTCTACCGCTCATTCGTAAGGCAGATTCCTCTGAAAAGGATGAGCAAGAAACTCTAGAGGTCGCACTTTGTAAATAACATTTGTACACATTCAACATTTACAATATATTTTTTTCGTTTCAAACATCACACATCGAGACTACCCGCTGCCCTAACCGCACGTTTCTGCAGGACATTTCTATTGATATCGGCGGCATTACCCCAAAGCAAAATGCCGTACGTCATTAGACTGTGAAAGAAGCTGAAGTAAACCAATCTAGCGGTTTCGACGTCTGAAAGTTTCCGTATTGTTTTAATAGCGTACACTGCAGAGCTGAGCCGTTTTGATAACTTACTTATATGTGGACCCCATTGCAATTTAGCATCTAACGTTATACCTAGAAATACAATTATATCCACAAGATTCAATATTTCGTTTCTAACTACAATGTTTGTAACCATCTCTCTAACATTGGGTAATGTAACTTACACACAAACAATTTTTTCCCTCATTAAGGTTATTAACAGCAAACCAATCCTTATTTCTGCTGCCAAGCAGTAATGTTATGTGATGTGACAGCGCGGTGTGCAATCCGCGAGCACGCACAATATACTAGTTTCTACTTAACTTTCGTGTTATTGTTATAACACTCTCTAAATTACACTAAAATTAATTTTTCTTTTGTCGAAGCTCATGTATTTTGTTAAAAAAGTACATAAAAGAGTTAGCAATTTTGTCGCACCTTTACGTACAAAGCCGCAGGTACATGCAGACGGTTTATTTTTTCTACATAGAAAATGATTGGAACTATACTGTAAGTAACCCACGCACATTACATTTTCGTATATTTTGAGTTAAAAAAACTAAAATAATTATTTTTTCTCTTCGAAACTATCAACTTTTCAAGAAATTATATAAGAATAAAAGTTGTTACGAATGTTATTATCTATCATATAAAAAAAATTTAGCTCAATATTCCACAAGTTATTCCTATGTCCGAAAATTATCAATTTGGGCCCACTGTGTGCCGCCCTGTCGCATCGCTTTCAAATCGCAAAGCTACTGCGGCGTTGTCGCTGCGTGCTCGCAGGCTATACGCCGCGCTGTCGCATCGCTTTCGAATGGCTCGCAAATCGCCAGTGTGAAAAGGCTCTTACTACATTCCAGTTTTGAAAGGGAAGGGTGCTGGTGAAACCTCAGATAGATGGGACTCGTCAACCCGGTGACGGGCACAGTGGTAGTGCCCCTCAGATCATTGCGATTAAAGCTCTTGGTTAGTGACACAGCAACTGTTATAGGTAGGCGGGACGGTTTCAACCAAGAGTACGACGTGTTTTTCCTGTCTAGACATCTTTAAAAAAATGTACTTTGCAACTAAGATCGCTTTTCACTATACCTTTAGATACCTTACGCAACAATGGTACGGTAGCCACAATACAAAATGCTATATTTCTCTCAAAAAGGTCTACGAGTACACAGGGACAATCTTCGTAAAATAAAAAGTTCGTTAATCGGAGCTGGAGTCTGTATTAGGTTGGAAACCCGTGTTACTGATCAACAGGCTCACTCCCATTTAGTATATTAGACATTGTAACATCATCATATAAAATACATGCAAATTACAAAGACAATAAAGTACAGCATAGCCAAACCAAAACTAATAATTTGATCATTTTCACATTTTTGTCAGATTTTCTTGATTTTAACGCTACATTTTAGATTATAATGAAATGAAGCATTTTCATTATACTCTATAAGGTAGCGTTAAAACAAAATCAAACATATTCAACGAAACCTCGAAATACAAGAAAATCTTGATAATATATCAAATTGAAAGTTTGAAAGCCTCTCTTGTAAAATTGTGATTTTGCGCTTTGCGCTTATACATAGGACCCATCGAAATGCGCGTGTCGCGCGCACGCAATGTGTGTGTTAACTAATAGGTTAACAGCTAACTAACAGGTTAGGCGTAGATTTAGGTGGGTTATTAGTGGACCTTTGTGAGAAGTCATTGTGATAATAACTCACCAATGACCAATTGAAATGGATCTTTAAATCCCCATACGGCTGCGACACTGGCAGCGCGATCTAGACAGCCGAACAGAGTTCCCAGTAATAAAAGTTTTCCTGCAGCCGGGTGCACTGGCAATCTTGCCAAATGCCATCCCAGAGGTGTTAGTTTCTCATCATCGTCGAGTGCTCCGCATCTGTTAATAGAAATATATCAGTAGTGTCTTGAGATACAATTGGAAAATATACCTGAGTGATATGCTTATATATACATATACGCTTATCTTATCACCTGTCCTGGATTTTTTCCCACATCCGCGAGAATGGTCCTATTTAACTGCCTCCGTGGCCGAACGGTTACCATGCCACGCAGAGGTCCCAGGTTCGATTCCCGGGCCGGGAGAAATAGTTGTATGGTCTAAAATTATGTCTCTCGTGACTTTGGGTGTAATTTGTGGTTGTCTATGTGTGTCTATGGCACCCGCGACACAGGGTTCCCCTGGGGCGGGCTATGTTGAGTGTGTGCGTTATTTATTTATTTATTGAAATTGCGCCCTTATGAAACTACATTTTTCATTAGTTTTCATCAATAAAGGCTAACTGCTAATCATAGGCCTCTCCAAAGGTCTTGGACGCCATCATCGGTCTATGTAATGTGTGAATAGAACCATTTTTACTAACTATGAAAATGTACTTACTGTTGCAAATGTCGCACAGCCCATTCAATAGTGGATTGCGCAGGCGGCGATGGCACCATATTCAGCGCAATGCCAGCTTTACCCAATCTCAATCTCTTAGTACACAACACTGGTTCCAAAAGGTCACTTCGTTGCAACTCGGGCAGTATACGTTCGGCCAGAGTAGAGGCACGATATGTGGTAATGAGGTGATAGCAGACACCTGGTTGGCAACGACCGGCGCGCCCGCGTCTAAAGTTGGAGAAGTAATTGTTGATACCAAGCTAATTTAAATAAAGTGCGATAAATAAGAAATAAATTACAGAACTTCATTATTTTGTGGGTTAAATAGACCAACAAAATGAAATTTGAATCCGAATAGTGACCGTCAAGTTTGGTAACTTTGAATAAAACTGGTTTGAAGAGGCTTTTATTTTCTCAAAAAATTGATAGCCAAATGCATTGACAACTGCGTGAAACGGAATGACTAAATATTCATGTCACACGTGACGTAACATTGACAGTCACCAAAGCAGTTTTGAAATTTACCCGCCACTTTCCTTTCGCGGTGTTCCGAGTGAAAAATGTGTGGGCTTAATTTTATTTTCTTCCCAGTTGGTAGCTGCTAATTGGTAAATGGTATTCCCAAGTGAATGTCACAAGTGCGATAGGACAAGTTTATTCAGTTTGCTTGCCAATCTACGTTTTTTTTTTCATTCAAAATACGAGTATGATCTCACTCATGTCAGTTAAAATTGTCAATGAAGAAAAAAAATGAAGAAGGATGTACAAAATAACTCGGTTCAAAGACATCCAAAAGTCAGGGTAACTTTCTCAGTTTTCTTCTAATTCGTCATTAATAAAAAAAAAAAATAGTTATATTATTTTAAGTTTGGGTATGAATAGTGCGGGGTCAAGGAAAAAGTTCCATTTTCAAATATCATATTTTTCAGAAAAACAAATATTTTTCCTTTAATTTTCGACATTTGACTTTGACACTTATCAAAGGTGAAGTTACTGAACGTAAACGATGGCGCCAACAACAGGTGGTGGTGGTGGTGGTTTGGTGACTTGTTGGATGTTTTTTCGCTGTTGCTTTAAGTCGCTTTTTTAAAACTTTAATATTCCAAACGTGGAACATAAATAATATGAGCCTTCGAAATTGCATTTCTCTAATTTTTCGGGGATTTTCCCAGAAAAATTTTCACTATTGGAAAATTTTTCGGTAAATTACCCAAACAGTAGGTATAAAAGCACACTCATTAACCAATAAAACCTATTTCGACCAATACATTTTATTTTAAGATTCATAAAATCCTAAGAAAAGTGTTCAAAGTTACCCAACTTGACTGTATGTTACTCGTAGAATAATAAGTAAATTAAGAAAATGTAATAAATAAAATATATTATAGTGCACTACAGCGTTGAAATTTTGCGCACGTGCCAGTTACCCAAATATTATTTAGTATAGGCATAAAGCTTCTTACGAAATTAAGTTTATTGTTATGTGTATAGGTAATAATATTCGTACATATTATGTCAAATAATCTTAAGCGAGTACAGTGAACCCATAAGATTTGAAAATACGTCATTTACATAGCGATTTAAACGTGACAGTGTATTTACCTTTGTCTTAAATTGGCCTGAGAAACCCATTCAGTTTTAAGGGTAGTCATATTGTCCTCAACATTCAAGCCCTTCATCTTCACTTTCCCACAATCAATAACATACACAATGTCATCAATAGTGATCGAAGTCTCAGCGATATTAGTCGCAATTATAATCTTCCGCATGTGAGGCGGAGGCCTTTCAAAGATCTTGCGTTGGTCCAACGAAGCTAACTTCGAATGCAGTGGGTATATTTCACAAAGGCTCTTAGGAAACTCATTGGTATCGTCCATTAACTTCATAACTTTGGTTATGTCTCCTATTCCGGGTAGAAATACCAAAATTGCACCTGGAGGCTTTTGGTATACAATGTGTTTTAAAAGTGCAACAACTAGACCCTTGTCTAGCTCTTCGATTCGAGGATCAGCTAATGTGTTGTAGACTTCACGACTTATATTTTTCTTTATAGATTCTAACCAGGGACCTGTAAATACCAACTCTAGTTAATATAATATACAGTATAGCTGGCGTTCTAAATGAACGATTATTGACACGTGCATTGGAAATAATGAAGGCATATAATTTGATATAATTAAATCAGTACAAACTACTGAAAAATCGACCTCAAAAGTTCGTGGAATTACATTTGCCAAGTTTTATTGAAACCGGTCACCGGAAAGCGCGTGAGACCGGATTCATCACCTAGTTTGCCACCTTTAGCCTGCCTTTCTACAAGAGATGTGCGAGGTATCGAAGCGCAGATGTGTAGCGGCGCTGTGAAACGTTGTGATGTGTTTCACTAAAGCTGTGCCAGGTAACGAGGCGGATGTGCAGCATCGCGGTGCGAGGTTGCGTTACGGACCCTTTTCAGCTATGCGCGGGCGGGGTACGGTGTGGTGGGGTGAGCGGTGGTGATGTGTCAGTGTCAGTTAGTGTCATACTTTCGCTCTAGTTTCCTACACCGTTTAGCACACATTCCTCGGCCGCGTCTCTCGCACATATCTCTGGCTATTTTGTATATACAAATATTTAGCTCCGCTAACCCTTTTCCACCGGAGCTACACTAAGCGAGGCTAGGAAAATAAAGTAATCCTATTGGTGGATTTTTTCCTCGTACACCGCCTCGCTACGTAGCACATCTCTGGTGGAAAGGCAGCCTTAAAGGTGGAATATTTTCTTCAAATTTCAATGGGATCACTACCCCTCTGGTACCCCTGAGGTACTCTCTTTCCAACAAAATAAGGATCATTAATTTGGTTCACAAATGCCCGAGTTATCGCATTAACATACATAAAAAAATACAGTTGAATTGAGAACTTCCTCTATTTTTTTTAAGTCGGTTAATTAATAAATAATATTAGACAACATCACATGTCCCAAAGTAAGTGACTAAAGCACTAAATGTGTTATGGAAATTAGAAACAACAATGGTACCATATACAACCAGACACAAAACAATATAGAAAAGTTACAACTTCTACATTGACCCGACCAGAGATTGAACCTACCTCAGAGATGGCGACACCATGAAAACCAGCTAGCAAGTCACTTGATCTTGGAGGTCGTCATTAATAATACTTAAATTGGAAGACGTAGAAATGTTGGATAGAGTTACATTTTTAAACTTTCGCGTTGCATTATGGTAACATTTCAAAACGGGAGTAAACGCTATCAAATAATTTAATACGTAATTTTCTTTTGAGCAATGCTGTTACTATAATGATATTCATCAATTTCTTTTTCAAATACTCCATTAGTTTGTTATTAATATTGATACAAAATCGAACCAAACACGAAGAAAATTATGCTTGCGCAACCTCTTCTATTCCCCTTACGCGACGTTTGTTATTTAGATGTGACCGAAGAGCTTATGTATAAACTAGAGCGCCTACAAAATTTGGCTATCCGATTTGTTTTTGGTTTCCGTATGTTTGACCGTGTTTCCGAATTTCGCGCTCGGTTAAAATGGCGCCCATTTCGCCTTCGCCGTGATGTGCATATCCTGTCCGCCCTTTTTAATATACTTCATGACGTCAACTCCCCTTCCTACCTTCGTTCCCGGTTCCAGTTGCTACCCCCTCCCACCCGTTCAAGGCGTCCGCGCATCACTAAGATGCTCGTTCGTCCTAACTGTAAAACAAATTTCTTTTTTAACTCCTTTTCTTGTCATGCACCGCATTTGTGGAAAAGAAACTCTCATAAGTTCTCATAGATGGCGTAACGGCTAAAAAGTCGTTTAAACCGAGTACAAAAATCTGTAACAAGCCTATAGAGAAGTTCGTAATATTTGCCGGTTCGATCCGTAGCTCAGTTGTCAGAGCGGTAGCCACGTTGAGGCAACAGTCGCTGGTTGGAGTCATGTCAGACGTAGGAATTTTCTTTGCGTTTGTTTGAATTTTGTATCAATATTTGTTAGCATGTAGTCAGTACCAGCATATGTTCAGTAGTTGTTGAGTTTATCGCGATCAGACAGACCTAGTGATCATATCTATATTTTATACTTAAAATGTACGAAAGTGTTTTAGGAAGATTATTGTTATACGATGCAATGCAGTGCGGCCCGTCATAATGTGCGTGAGCCTTTAGAATATTTAGGTACTTTGAATTATTTCTTGTCATCATCAGTGAATTTTTTGTCACGATTGGCCGCTCCTAAAATCTGGCCGCCCTAGGCCCGGGCCTACTGGGCCTTAGGTCAAATCCGGCACTGTTCACACCTATCTATTATCCTGACACTTCGACCAGGACGCACCGGCCGTGGCCACTGGTTGACCGTGGGTAGGTAGGTATTATAATTATTAAATTGTTGAAAATCGCGTTTATTCCCGTTTTGAAATGTTATGTTACCATAAATGGTAATTTTCAAAAATGAGACTCATCTTTCATCAAAGAAAAAGGTCTATTTTTATATAAGAAAAAAGTCTATTTTTATATAGCAAAAAGTGACGAACTATGTTCAAATTATATAGTAGTCCGTTTTTTTCCTAAGACATGAATATCCGCTGTAGTATCAACAAAAGGTTAAAAAAAACATACTTATTTCTGCCCTGTACTGCACTTGCTTCTCAATTTCTTTAGCATCACGACTTTTCGCGTTTCTCCCTGCATGTTTCATCCATTTTGGCTGAGGTCTGTTAAACACTTTGCTCTTCACGTCAGTAAGTTGAAACTTTGTTGCTTCCAAAATGTCTTCCAAATAAATATCTTCGACTGGGTACGCCAGACCCTCAATGTGAATCATTGGGCAGTTATCAAAATATTCTGATATTTTTTCAGCATCTATTGTCGCGCTCATTAATATGACTTTAAAATCTTTTCGCTTTTTGAGCACCTTAAGGAAAAAACTAGAATAATAACCATTTTCATAATATGAAGTTAAGACCCAAGATACACCGTCAATTACTGCGAAACATATGTTCTTGTTCTACAAAAATAACTTTTGAGAAAAAATCCTCACGCTCCAAAACGACTTTTTATGTTTTAAATAGTAGAGCAAATTATGCAAAAAATAGTTTTTTCAGATGATCGTGTAGTTTTTATGATGTGGTTATGTTTGTAAATTCCTTAAGAAAAAGTGGGAGAAACTAGACGCTAGAATTAACATTCTAGTGGTTCTAATGCACATCTTTATTATATTATTATCTTTGGATCTGTAATGTGAATATTTTGGTAGTATACATATAAGTAAGTATTTACACAATTTATTTATTTGTACAATTTATGTTATACGTTTTAATGTAGAGTACTATAGGTCTATTTTTATACAGTGTTCTTAGATAATTGTTTGTATATGACTGTTTGTTACCTACATAAATAAAATAAACTAAAAAAACTATTTGGCGAAAGAATGACCCCAATCAGCAGGTACCAAAATGTTACAGCCATTATAAGATCGAAAAGTTTAAGATTTTCTTTGCGTCCGTAATTTAAACTAAAGTACCTAAAAAGAGGTTCTTTGAAACTCACATCACAGGCCGAATTTAATTAGGTATTTCAAGTGAAACTACATTACTTACAATCTTCAACAAACACATGGAAAGGTCCATATCGCAGTCCCGCTCGTGCACCTCATCAAGTATCACATGACTGTTGTTAACCAGACCTTGGTTTACTTCAAGCTCAGCCAGCAGAATCCCTGTTGTCACAAACATTATGCTGCCCCGACTTCGAGCGTCTACTCTGCAATATTCAAGGTTCAACTTTTGTACCCAAGGAAGAACAAACAAAATACTTATCCTAAGTTTGCTAAGTTCTTAAACTATATAGGTACTTGTTTGGTGACGGCAGTAATAGCATTCACAATTCCTTGTGATTATTATATATAATTATCATATATGCTTCTATTTAGTATATATACATATATATTATAACCTTGCACAACTTTTTGTACTATGCGCACTATAATATATGTATACATATAAATAAACATAGGGATGATGCTGTGTCTTGACGCATAGCCTCGCATACTTACTGTCTAACCGTGTAAGGCTATTCCTGTCATTAAGATTACAGAGAGAATGGGAGAGATACTAAGTTAAACTAAAAAAAGAAACTCACTTCTCCAACCTAACAGCATACCCAACAGAGCTGCCCATAGGTTCAGCCCTTTCCTCGGCCACCCTAGCAGCGAGAGACGAGGCGGCAATACGTCGAGGCTGTGTGACTAGGATCTTTACATTTGCGCCTTTGCCCTTACAAATTGCATCATCTAAAATTATTTGTGGCACCTGAAAAATTTTAGTTCGATTTTTGTACATGCAATTAAATTGTAAAATTAAATAGAATAAGCCTCTGTCAACTTGAAATGTTTTCAAATAAATTTATACTGCAATAATATCAATATATATATTTTATTTTATAGGGAACACATCGCATTCGCGTGGCGAACTATGGCCTAAATCCTGACCTGAAAGAAGACACGTGCCCAGCAGTGGGACGTATAAATGGGTTGATGATGTTTCAATTTCCAATAGGATGAATTTGGGATAGGAATAGGAGGTTTTGGTGGTCTGGGTTGTAGTGCCATGGAGTCAATTTGCATTGCTCTAAGTATAGAGTTTCCTAGTTTGAAACCAGATAATTGGTATAGTTGTTTAACACATTTGAAAACGGTAGCTATTATGAACCTATTATAGTATACAAGTGCATAAAGAGCAACAGTGTAAATTAGTAAATCTCTGTGTACAAAATCAATCAATATATGATTTTCTTGTAGAGTGAGAACATTACCTGAGTAGATTTCCCACAACCAGTTTCTCCACTAATAACAACAACTTGATTATTATTTATGACATCAAGCAATTCTTGTGACTTTTTATAAGTAGGTAATCTATCTCGAAATTCTTTCATTTCTTTATACTTTTTTCTTATTAGCATATCTTGATATTCACCACAAAAACGAGCATTCAATTCTAGAATGTCTTCTGTGCACATATTAATACTGATACCCTTAGCCAGAGATTCATCAAGTTTTTCATCAAAGGTTCCTGTTATTATATCTTCATAACCATATTTATAGTCACCACCACCTCTAAGAGATAGTAGTCTTTTGTCAAGTACGTATTCACTCTGGGCGGCGTCATCAATGGGAATAAAATTAGCTGCAGATGAAGTCCCGGGCAATTCTTGACCTTCAATTTTTTCTTGTTTATACACTACAGGTTTTGGCTTTTTGAACACATTATCCAAGGACTTGTCTTGATTAATATCATCCTTTTCAAAGTTTATAAATTCTACATCAGATGCAAATTGATTTTGTGTTAACGGTAAACCTTCACACTTGACTAAAGGAATGTTGAGGCGTTCTGCTATTATCGCAATTGTCTGTAGGTTCATACGAAGTTTGTTTTCTACTGCTGGAGGTAGTTGGAAATTTATCTAAAATTGTATTTATGTGTTATTAATAAGGTCAAGTGGGTCAATTATGTCACAGGGGTAATTATATCCAATGGCTACAGCTCTCGTTCTGTAAGCCCTAAGTGACTAGTGATTCCTAGTGAAGGTAATGAGCAGATTATTTTGAATAAATAATTGATGGCCAGCACAATGGGTAAACTGTTTGATTGAGTCGAGCAAGAAGGCCATATCGCCGTTATACTGCGAAAACCAATTATCTGGAATTTTCACAGAAAATTCATCAGGATAACGCGATAAAATTGCTGTAAAATGCAAACATTTTCAAATTTCGGTAAAACATAAAATGTGCATGGAATCATCCGTTACAAATTAACGTGGGAAGACATTTGTGAAAATGCAACAATTTTTGTCACAGTGAAATTTTAATTGTATTTATATCCTTAGATATTTTGTGAAATAATTGTTTTCCCCAGTACAACGGCGATATTTTACGCACATAACAAAAATGCTCTACAAATTTCTTAATTTCTTAAGTGGTTTTAAATGTTTTTCGAAGTTATCAAGGTAAGTGACGAGACTAGAAGTAGATTTTTTTCAGCTAATTTGTTTTATCCCAATCTTACATATGATTGTGTTATTAAATATGATGTTACCTGCGCTGCAGGGATGAAACGGCTGAATTGGCAGAATCATAATAATGATCCTAATACGATTCATATTTCAAATCGCAAAAAGGTCACTTAACTGATTCATATTATTAAAGAAGCTGTGAATCTTGTCCAAGACTGGCACGTGTCCGAAGAAGCATCTCTGCTCCGAGAAAGATGCTTCTTCTTTCTAAGCTGAAGCTTAGAAACAGCTACCAAAGGACAACAACCGCAACAGAATCCCCAAAAACCGATCGTAAACCATACACTGACAAACTAAACCAGAGCCTGGGGGAGCAGGCACCGGTAGCACCGGGAAGACGGCTGGTCACAACACAGAACTAACATCAAACATATATGTTATAACTCCGCATGCCCACTGAGTGACTCAGCCCCGCGGCAAGGTCAACACTGGTGGGGGCCTGAGCTTGAGGCTACGAAGAAGGATATGGAGACACTTCAATAGAGCAATGAACACATGCGCGGATGAGGACTGGGAAAACTACAAGACGGCCAAATCCAAAATAAAAAAGCGCATACGGTTCAGGAGCACCGCATCAAGGCGAGGCTACTGCGGAAACATCACGTCTTGTGGACAAGCGAACAGGATAAGGAAAATCATAGGCAATTCAAATTCAACTGAGCTAGGTTCAATACGCAAAATAGACAACACATACACAACTTCCCCTGCTTTCCAGAATGTAGGTTCGTCCAAGACGACAGGTGCGAAGAAATGAACTAGGGCACGTCGATCCACAACTGGCGAGACGCTGAACAAGTAGGAACGTACGAAAAGACAAAATGGGCAGTAAACACCTTTGAAGCGTACAAAGTTCCGGGCCAAGATAGAGTATTCCCCGCATTCCTACAATGGGCCGGGGACACACTGGTCCAGCACCTGATCAACATCTTTTGGGCCTGTCTAACATTCAGCTATGTGCCATCCCAAACAAACCCTGGTTTTTTAAACAAAAACTGTTCAGTAAACAGGCCGTATCCATCATCTGTCGCCTATGGCTTGGGCATGCATGCACACCTATCCATCTTGGTAAAATTAGGATAAGGGATACTTCTCTGTGTGAGTGTGGCATTGAAGATGGCACCATAGACCATGTTCTTTTTAACTGCCCTAAACTGAACATTTCTTTTTACGATTTACTCCCTCAAGATGTCCCTCGTCCAACCAACATAAAGTGCATCCTCGAAATGCTTGCTCGAAATTATTCATTATAATTAAAAAAAAATTTTTGGCAATAACCAATTACAATTGTAAAATGTTTACCTTTTTTTGTTTTTTCCATTTTTTTATTCTATCTAATTGTTTATTTACTTTTAATTTCTTATATAACTCCTATCTAATACTACACTGATTGCATTAACTCATTATTATACCTAAAACGTTTATTAACAACCTTGTTTTATTAGGCTATGCTCTGTGTTGTCCTGTGATGTTGCAACTGTGTGCTTTGTTTTAGATAAACCCGCTTCGAGTCTCACGGACAGCAGTAAGGGTCAAAATTATATTTGAAAACAAATCCACTCCTCCCGTATAGAGGCTACCTACGTGACATTGGCGGAATTGTGAAAAACACAAAACAAGCCACTAATAAAAGAAGAAGAAGAAGAAGCTATGTGCCCCACAGTTGGCGAAAGGTAAAGGTAATTTTTATACCGAAACCAGGTAAAAACAACTATACTGACGCGAAGTCCTTCAGAGCAATCAGCCTCACATCGTTCTTCTTGAAGACATTAGAGAGGTTATGCGACAAAGAACTGAGGGATGGAGTGCTTAAGAATATACCATTACTTGGAAACCAACATGCATACTGCCAAGACAAATCCACTAAATCGGCCCTACAAGCTGTTGTGGGCAAGATAGTGGCCCTCGAAAGACAATGCAATTTGCCTAGGCACCTTTATAGATATTGAAGGAGCCTTTGATAAAACCAACTTCTCCAGCATACAATAAGCACTGAAAAGACACAAAGTGGATGAAGAGCTAATTAGCTGGATTAGCAACATGCTAAGACAAGGAACAATGAAAACAACAGCAAATGAGACCCCATGGGCCACTGTAGTGAAGAGGTGCCCTCAAGGAGGGGTACTGTCGCCTCTGCTGTGGAACATGGTCGTAAATGACCTCATCATTAAACTAAATAAAGTATACAGCAGGATATGCTGATGACATAGCTGTACTGCTAACAGGAAATTATGCCAATACACTCCACAACATACACAAGCTGCACTCCGGAATGTGGAAAGATGGTGCAGAGCATACGAACTATTGGTAAACCCAACAAAGACGGAACTAGTAATGTTTACAAACAAAAGACTACTGGGTAACTACCTAGTACCCAAACTTCAGTACAGAGCTACAGAATTATCAACCGAAGTCAATTCCCCGGGAGTAATACTGGACAACAAGTTGAACTGGAACAAGCAACGGGACAACAAAATCAAAAAAGCTACTATCACCTTCCTGCAGTGCCATAGAATGGTAGGTAAACAATGGGGACTTTCACTCAAGATAACACTATGGCTCTACACAACGGTGATAAGACCCATGATCAGTTACGGCGCAATAGTATGGTGGCCACGACAACTGCAACTGACAAGCTGACCAAATTCAAAAGACTAGCTTGCATGGCGATGACTGGCTGCATGAGGACAACTCTAACGGACCCCACATACAGAAATCCTTTAAAAGACTGTCAATGAGGAACCGCTACTGGAGGTGGCTGTGGTTAGGATCCCAAAACAATACATCTTTGACAAAAAATACAAGATACAATTGTTTGAAGATCTCAACAAAGGACTGAACTCCAGAGAGGTCTTTACTGATGTATCAAAGACAAATTCAGGAACAGGTACTGGGGTATTCTCAGAAGACCTCAATATGAGGAAGTCAACACCGCTTGGTGACCACAACACAGTAATCCAGGCTGAATGCATGGGTATCTAGTTCGCAGCATAAGCAATCATAGCGAGAAGAGTAAAGAATCACTCCATTTGAATACTCTCTGACAGTATGTCAGTACTTCAAGCACTAAACAGCTATCACATAAACTCAGGGCTCATTTACATTTGCCATCAAGCACTCATGTAGGTATTTACACGCAACCACATAACTCTACAGTGGATTAAAGAACATAGTGGCTCACGTGGCAATGATGCAGCAGATGAACTAGCCAGATAAGGGTTGGATGGACACTGTTGGACCAGAACCCATAAGCGTCCGTCTCCTACCAATGGTCCAGAACAACTATACACAAAGGTACAAAATTTTCACATAATAGCACAGGGCGGCCACCCTTATGGTTTGTAAACAGGCGAGGAAAGCACTTCCAATAATCAATGCCAGTCTATCTTGAATATTATTTAAACTCAAAAGGCAAGAGCTTTGCACTCTAACTGCCGCCCTAACAGGTCATTGTCCATACAATAAACACTTTTTCAATTTAGGTATCACAAACAGCCCTCTATGCGGAGCGTGCATGGACAGGGAGGAAATGACTGCGTACATCCTACTACAGAGCTCTAGCATGGCCAACTACAGGGTAAAGTACCTTGGAGTGCCTAGGTCGCTCCTTGAAATCTTCAGCAAACCGAGGAGGTTGCTGAGATTCCTGGAGAAGCTTGGGTGGCACGAGTATGATGCATCCACCACACGCAAAATAGGCGCCTTGACATCCAGTTGCGGACATCGGCCCGTTACACCAAGTACCAGGTTGATGTGATGATTATACAACACAACACTTTGTAAACTGATCCAATCAAGTCTACGTGAACCATAATTGGAAGCTTATATTTTTGTGACGGAATAGCCTGTTCAACCTTATGAAGCAAAATATTTCACTTAGTTTCTATGAAAGTTACTGATGTGTACACATTGTTGGAGGAGATAAGTGATGTTAATTGTAACTAAATGGTAAAATATGCATTTTTAAGCACTTGACTACACACCACGTGCTTTATTCTAGTTTACAAGGGATAAATTTACGTCTCGAATTCAACAGAGCACTAGATGAAAGACATGGCAAATATTGTGAAATGAACATATTATAATCTCACCATGAATTGCTTTCTCGGTTTTACATTACTATGTTCTTTGGAGAGCTTCGATCTGCGTTTTTGGTCTCTGAAATAAAGCCCGATTTGCTTGCCTTTTAAACCGGGCGGGTGTGCGCGAGAGCTCTGCATTTTTCCCCAGCTACTGTGGCCAGGTTTATTCCACTTTTTCTCCTGTCGCGACATTATTATTGTACTGTTCGTTACTATTTCTCAAAATATTGGCCCTAGATCATACACTCTTGATATTGGCATAGCACTTTAGAGGATGGAAAAAGTCTAAGCATAGCATCTTAAGAGAATGGAAAAATAGCACGCACAATCTATAAAAACAGAGATAGAAAAAATCTTAGAGGATGGAAAAAAATTACAACTTTGAATTTACGGACAACGGCACATCAGACTACACATTTTTGTTCGAAAATCGCCTCCAGTGTAACGGAACAAGATACGTCAATGTGAAGCTTGATGTGTTGGCGTGTGTACACTCACTTTGATCATAAACCATATTTTGACTACAACTATACAATACCGACACACGTTGTTTTTGAAACTTTTATGGTTTTTAATTTATCTGGTTTTAGCATGGTATAAGCGAATTGAAAAAACAACATTATTTATTTATTTATAAAGCATTAGCTTCAGAGCAATCAGCTTAATGGTAACAAAACAAATAATCAAGAAACGCACAACGTAATGTACGTAAACTAAGGGTGGTATTCCAGAACTCTACGCAATGCTCTAATCAGGGGAGCTACTCTCGGGGTCGTATTCTAGAACTCTATTCAATGCTCAAGTCAGGATTGCCCTGGCAACACAAGCACTGGAAATACGACCCTAATGGCAGGGACTTGAGTATGATTTCGAGTGCTTTAAACCATACTCAAATCCTGACTTGAGCATTGAGTAGAGTTCTGGAATACGACCCTCGATCTCCGTCCGAAACAATTACTGTCAAATAAGTAATATTCGACAAAATTAAAATACAAGTATCCAGGGGGTCTACTCTCGATCTCCGTCCGACATCCGTCCGAAACAATTACTGTCATATAAGTAATATTCTACAAAATGAAAAGACATGTATCAAGAATGAAGCTTCATTCGCATCACGCGTCTTTTCGTTTGGTCAAGTATTGCTTAATTGGCAGTAATTATTTCGGACGGATGTCGGACGGAGACCGAGAGTAGACCTCCTGTATGAAGATTCATTCGCATCACGCGTCTTTTCATTTGGTTAAGTATTGCTTATTTGGCAATAATTGTTTCGAACGGATGCCAGACGGAGATCGAGAGTAGACCCCCTGGACTTGAGTATGATTTAAATCACTAGAAATCATACTGAAGTCCTTGCCATTAGGGTCGTATTTCCAGTGCTTGAAATCATACTCAAGTCTTGACTTGAGCATTGAGTAGAGTTATGGAATACGACCCTTAAAATTAATTCGTGTAAAAAATGTAACCTCAAAGAGGAAACTAGCAATGTGTTTGTTTTGGGCGACGGTTATGAAGTTTGTTATACAAGAAGAGCCACAACAACACGTTACTTAATGCTTTTACATCATCTTTTTACATCATGTGCACTACCCTTTTTTTCTAATAATTGTTAATGAGCCTTACAACGGATTAATATATATACACACACATTAATTATATATATCTATACACAGCCAAAATTGCATGCTCACAAACAAAAACAAAAAATCACAATTGAACTGACAGTATTTAGTTTGTGACTGACAGTTGGTTGGTTGACAATCTTGTTTCTTGTTGCCTTTTATTTTTACAAGTTTATTGCAAGTATGGGCCGATTATTAATGTATTTTGATTTGTATTAGTTAAAGTTAGGAAGTAAATATGTTTTCCAAACACGTAAGTCCTTTTATAAGTGGCGTGCTCTATGATATATGTATTATAGTTAAAAATGTAAGCAGTAAATTAGTGGTTAGTTTTGTAAAGATGGTTATTATAATTTAGATGGTCTACATAATTATTCAATTTCGTAAGTGCATTATGTGTGCTAATTTCATCATCTGTGTTTGCTCATTAAAAAACAGTATTGAGTAACGTACATACAGTTCTTAGAGATTTGTGACCTATTTAATAGACAAGCCTCAAATAGTATATTAATGAACACAACACAACTGAATTGTGTCGCTGTAATCTCGTACCACTTTTGAGTTACATTACACTTTTGAGATATATCAATTACTGCGTAATCTATCATAAGCCACAGAAGTTGTTACAATTTTTCATAAATCTCTTTTTATGTAGGTCTATTATACTCAGTAGTGAAATGATGAAACTGGAAAAAGAATATGTTTTAAATTTAATTGCAATACCTCCGGAATCACAGCATGTTGTTTTTGAAATATAATTTTAGTGTACAATACATCAAAATGTTCCTCTTTAAAGAATTTGGGCTTACAATTCTTTACCTGGGATTTATATGATGTTACAAATTTTAACATCATGCCCAGACTTATTTAAAAACATACCTCTTAAAAGTCTTAAAAAGTTAATAATTTTTGGTTCAGTATGTTTTTGTTTTTGAGACCCTGATATTATATTTGATGTACTTGGTACTTGGTGCAACGGGCTGGTATCCGCAATATATTATATATATATATATATTTGATGTAATATTTATTGCCTGTGAGTGTTATTATTATGCACTGATACAGCAGGTACAATAATATATGATGTTTTCTTTTCATTTCAGGATTATTGGTCTCTGCTGTGCAGAGGTAGAAAGAAGAAAATAGTAACTTTAATCATTATTTTAATAGTCTTATTGAATGCCTTTTTTTATGTCAGTATGGAATTATTTAATACCATTAATGGAAAGGTGCATAAACAGCAATGGTACAACAGGTATAGTACTTCATGGCAACTTTTTTGTTATGTTTATAAAGATACAATTTTGTCCCACATGGTTGTGTAAAGTCTGTTCCAATCCATTATGCCAGAAAAGTAAACAAACCAGTTTGGTTAAAATTCTAAAGCAATCACTCAATAAATGGAATAAGGAACACTTTCACCTATATTTTCAAGATTTGGACTTGATGTTTTATCACTCTTTCCAGCAATATTAATTTGATTATTATATTAAAATTTTATTTGAAAAATGTTATTTCTAAAGTGAGGTTAGCTAACAAATATAGATTTATGAATAGTCTATAGATGCATAGGGCTGTACGGAAGTAACTCATTCCGTTCATTCAATAAAAGTTTTTGTAATTGATTAGTGAATCGAAAATTTTATCACTTGAACGAATATCTAAGTGTAAGATTTGAAGGAGGATTTTAAATTAGAATTCGAAAATTTCAAATTTAATTTTATAGGTTATGTAAGAAAAAATTTCTAATCTCATGTATGAAATATCATCACTCAGTATGGAATCACATATTTTTTTATAGTAATCAGCAGCAAAATCGCAAAACCCATTTAATTATATGAAACCCAGCTATATTTCAATAGTTCAATCAATTAATTAATCGATTTGTAATTGGCAGTACAGTTGGCCATCACTAAACTGTCTATGGTCGGGTCAATGATTGGTTTGTTTATTTTTCTGGTTTCTACCATGGATTGGAACAGACTAATACATAATAGTAATACATAATTTCCTTTGAGAACAGTAATTTTTGTTTTTTTTTTTATTTATTGTTAGTAATGTTTGTTTATGCTGTATAATTGAAATTTAAAAATAATTATGATATTTTTTCTATTTTAAGTTTAGCAACAACCTCTTGTTTTTTTTAAACTGGTAGAGATTGCCTTTGGAGATTAAGTCCGCCATTTGTACATTAATGTATTGTGCAAAAAAATTAAATAAATAAATAATAATAACTTTGCAATACATTCATTATGTTTAAAGTTATAGATTTGTTTTTGTAATTGAATTACAATTTCGGTCTGTTATAAAAATATGATTACAAAACCATTTATTCTCATTAGAAAAATGTATACATAATAAAGAACAAGCAGGTTAATTTAAAGGGAAATATGGAAATGGGCACGGCTTGCCTGGATTTAAGCTCGTCTTTCACAAAATGCAAGGATATTTATCATATTGATATTAAGAATAAAACTGTTTGTGGTGTAACTTATTATATAATGAAGTTTGCAAAAAAACTTCATAAAAAACATGTCAGCTGTGACCATGGGATCTATAATGGGCCTGAAAAGTTTGTTTGAAGAAAAAAAAAACAAATGCACACTCCAAAAAATACTTTCTTTTCCTACGTGTAACTATCGTAAAAACTGGGCATTAGGATGCTCATTAGAGACTTAATAGGACATTGTGCCACATGCCACAATGTCCTGTCAATGTACTCCCTATTCTCTCTCTCTGCCCAATATTTGATATGATGAATGAGAGAATAGAGAGTGTAGATTCTGCCATGAGGTTGATGAAACTTCTGTTTATCTTCTCACCCCTTGATAGGCGTACGAAGCTCCATACTGGGAAGGCGCATGTTAGAGCCAGGAAAGTCCTTCAGTTCTTTAATGCTGTCGGCCTTGGTTCCGAACTGTAATTTGTGGTGATCTTGATAGATCAGCTGATGGTTGTAGTTGTAGGGGCTACATGTGTTCCGAATGAAGCCACCCTAAAAACAATAATAATAGTAGCAAAAACTGAAAGACAAAAAAGAAATGTGTGCATGCCCAAGCACATATGCACTCGTAAAGTTCGCAAGCGCTCATGCACGTTTGCAAGAATGCACTTGTATACATCACACTTCACCTTCACATTTTATTTTTAATATATTCAATACAATTACTACGATATGAATGATACTTTATTAGTACAGTTGAACAGATTTAGATTTGTTTCGTGATAATTGCAGATTACATTTTGATGAAAACTCCTATGTTGATAAAAGTGGAATGAGAGTTATAGTAGGACATTATATTGGAGGAAATACAGGGGGAAATTTGTCTGATGGTAAGTCTGTTTATAAAAAATAAAGTTCTAAAACTTTAATACACTGTCTGACAGTGAAACATAAAAATGTGTGTAAACACAAAATATTGAATTTAGTTTTTGTCTATTTTGTTATTCAATTTTGTTAATATTTTTTATTTTCAGATGTAGTAAATAGTAATAACTATTCCCCTGTACCAGGGGCAGGGGAGGGAGGTAGACCAGTGCAACTTTCTCAAAGAGAACTTATAAGAGCGCGCGAGCTTTATGCTCTCCACTCTTACAATATACTTGTTAGTGATAAAATTGCCATTAATAGAAGTCTTCCTGACATGAGGAGTGAAAGGTAATATTGTATATATTATATAAAAGGAAATTGTTTTTATTAATCTTGGCTTAATGTACAAGTTTACTTAATAAAAATCTAGTGATTATGTTACCTTCTAGAATCTTGTATAGAAATATCTGCAATCTTTTTTATTTCATCATAACATCTATAAAATCAGTTAAACGATATTAGTCTACATAAAATATTATCTATTTGAAATTTCAGCTGTAAAAATGTGCAGTATGATTCCGAGAATCTACCAACAGCTAGTGTTATTATAGTTTTCCATAATGAAGCATGGTCCACTCTAATGAGGACTGTGATGTCCACTTTGTTGCGATCACCAGAACCGTTACTGAGAGAGGTAAGCCATAATCAATAGAACACTTTCAAATAGAGAATGAAACAGCTTAATAATTTTGTTATGCTGAATTACTTTTCAGGATTCAATTTTCTGGCTGGGTTGTTACGTAGTAACTGTAATCTACATTTTGATAGAAATCGCTCATTGTTTTCAATTTAGAATAAGATTGTTTTGCTGTAGTAGGAATATATAATTATGTACTTCAATGAAATTTTCAATATTTTTGTTATTTTAGGTGATTCTTGTAGACGACGCTAGTGAGAGAAGATATCTCGGCAAAGAATTAGATGATGCAGTCGCTAAGTTAGACAAAGTTAGAATATTAAGAAGTTCTAATCGAACAGGTTTGGTGGGCGCGCGACTTATGGGTGCCAGGACAGCAATAGGGGATGTTCTGGTCTTCTTGGATGCGCATTGTGAGGTACTTAAGATTATTATTATTACATTACAACTAAGAATCTTTCTAATAAAAAAAATGTTTGAAAAATAGTGACGGGCTAAGTATTCACCCCCGTAGAACACTTCCACCGCAGACAATTTTTTTTATGTAATTTTTTATGCTACTGGTTTGGTTCTTAAGGATTAGAATAAGTCCACTAGTTTCATTCGGAACCAATTGTACTCCACTGTTACAGTTTAAACCGTGGTTCGGTATATCATTATTTGTACATTATGATTAATGCAATCAAAAGATTTTCATAAGTGCATTATAAGTGCTGTGTATACTAATATTAATTATAGTATATTAAAGAGTTAGGTATAGCATGACAAGAATTGTTTTGAGCGCACTATTAATCATGATTGTTACCTTATTCCAGGTCACTCCAGGTTGGCTGGAACCATTACTTGACAGAGCGGGTAGTGATGACGTCTTTATATGTCCTCACATTGATCTTCTTTCTGAAGATACTTTAGCTTACACGAAAAGCATCGACGCACATTGGGGTGCTTTCAGTTGGAGATTACATTTCCGTTGGCTAATGCCAAGTGAAGAAGTTCTACTGATGAAATCAAAAGATCCATCAAAGCCTTATCCAACACCTGCCATGGCTGGAGGACTATTTGCAGTGAGAAAAAGTTTGTTTTGGAGATTGGGAGGTTATGACGAAGGAATGTTAATATGGGGAGCTGAGAATTTAGAACTTTCTTGGAGAGCGTGGCAATGTGGAGCTAGGGTAGAAATTACATCCTGCTCAAGAGTGGGGCACATCTTTCGAAGGCATAGCCCTTATAAATATCCTGGTGGAGTATCTAAAGTGTTAAACTCGAACTTGGCTAGAGCAGCTACAGTATGGATGGACGAATGGGCGGAATTCTTTTTTAAATTCAACCCTGCAGTAGCAGCGATTAAGGATCAACAAACAGTGGCAGATAGAGTTGAAATAAGGAAGAATTTAAATTGTAAAAGCTTTAAGTGGTATTTGGAGAATGTTTGGCCGCAGCATTTTTTCCCTACTGAGGATAGGTGGTTTGGAAGAATTCGTAGCGATAGAGGTGGGTGTATAGCCGTTGCTTTTGGTACTCCTGGTGTAGGAGGACCAGCTGATGGTGTTCATTGCGCCAGTGATCTAGACCTAGAAAGGTTAGTAGTTTACACTCCTCAAGGTCAAATAATGGCAGATGAAGGTCTTTGTTTAGAACAAGGCAATGGACGCGCGGTGTGGAAAGGTTGTAGTGATAATAAAAAACAAATATGGTTACAGAAGGGGCCACGTTTAAGAACTACTAGTGGATTGTGTTTGACGCTTGTAGGTGTAGATATTAACAAGAAATCTGGTATAGATGATCCTCTTACTGCCAAACGTTGTCGTGATAACGACTCGGGACAGATTTGGCATTTCGAACGCGTGCCTTGGCGCTGAGTTGTGATAATATTTAAGTAGAAAATGTATAGAGAAATTAAATATAATCTCTAATGCAAGATTTGTGTACTATAAACGTGAAATGTACGTAGTACAGTGTAAATAAATAATTAATATTATAAGCTTATTATAAGCTGTTAAAGAAATAGGAACAAATATGTGTTCTCTTCTATTATAGATACTCATTAATTATATGAAGTAGCTATTCACATTATAGGACTACCTAAATTAAATTAAGGGGTCCAGGGAGCAATCTGTTAAGTTAGTTTGTTATGCAATCCACTAACGATTTGAAGAAGTAAAGGTGTTCTTTTTAAATATTTTATTTTGCAGCAATACATGCGAGTAAGTGTACTCGTTAAACAAATTAGAAATCAAATGATGGGATTTCTTTAGTGACTTGTGATGCTTGTCGTACTGACTAATATTTGCCTAGTATAAGTAAGCATTTATAACACGTAGAACCTGTGATTTATTATTAATATTAGTTATGTAGACTACTTATTAAGAACTTTATAAAAAAATCTTAAGTTTAACGTCATATAATTTGTAACAAGTGACGTAACACTGTAATCCAGGTATTTAAAAATAGTATATATTGATACAATGTTGATTTAGATTATTTTAATTTATATTTTCTTCAACTTGTACACATGGTAAAAAATATGTTCAAATGCCACTATTCTACTAATGCACGCTATTTTTCGCATTGTGAAATTACTCATTGTGTGATTGTGCATGATCTAAAAATAAGATATAATCGTATTTAAACGTTTTTTGCCGACTATACGTAATTCTTATCTCGTTATTATTTTGGTCTAGTCTATATTAATTTAATTTGTTTTTAAAATTTCTATTTTAAGAAATTCTCAATTTTATATTCAATTATTATTTAAATATTAAGAATTTAGAATGGTTGTGTAAATCTCAATATGAAACCTAGAACAAAAAAGACAAATGCAAAAATGGAAGTACATTAAATAAAAACTCTTTTAAATGTTTCCGATTGTGTTATGTAATTTATCGTATGTAAAAAACTTATATGTAAAAAACCTTAAAAATAAGATACAACATGAATGGTATAGATATTTACATTTTATCTCAACAACGTCATAATAGTTATGTATAGATTGATCGGAAACTCTTTACAAGTGTAGTTATATGGGAAAACCCCTAAGCGTACAATCCTGGTACGCAGTTTGCATGCTCCTGTACAGGTGGCCGTTCTCCTTCAAACGGCACAAACGTACATATACATATATAAATGCATACAAAAGTGTTTATTTCTATTGAAGCTCAACTGAGTAGCCGGACTCTTAACAAACAGTTTTTTTGGTCATTAAATTAACATAAAAAAATTACAATAGTCCACATTTATCTAACAGTAGTTAGTAGTTCTTTTTTTTTACAATAAATTATTATAAATATTTGATCCTTTCGTACTAAAATATTTTATTTTTCTAAAGATAGAAATTAACCTTGCTCACAGCGGTTTGAACTAAGATCATGTAAGATTTTAATGATCGAACAGATAAAAAAAATTTAAAACTTTTGCATTTAATCGAGGTCGCAAACTTTATTAAATATAAACTAAAAAAAATTACGCTGTTATCCCTAAGGCAATTTTTTCTTGAAATCAAACATTTTGGATCCTTTTATTCACCTATTTATGTTACCGTATAAAAAAAGTTAAATTATTTTTTTTGTCACCCATATACAGGGTTACACGAAAAGTCGTGCTAGATCCGTTAAGGGCGTGGAGTACTCATCATTTCTGACTTATTTTACTATGAAACACCCTACCCTAAACTTAACCCTTTTCGAGATATTTGACTTTTATTTTTTTTATTCAAAATTGCCGATTTTTAGGCTACTAAATTTAATTTTGTTTATTTTGTGTGTCTTATTATTATAATTATTGCATTTTTACATGTGGGATAAGATGCTTTAGGACCTCAATCATTAAAATAGTGAATAAGTTAATTCAATACGCCGTAGTAGAAAAGAGAAAGTTAAGAAATTAAAAAAAAATTAGAAAGTTTATTTTTCTCTAAGGGATATCTAAAAAAAATATTATGGCAGTTGATCGGCAGATAAGTTATAAAATATCTACGTTTCATCAGCTATCTAACAAGGTATAACAATCTAGGATTTGTATTGCATTTCGTGGAAAAAAAAGTAGTTGGGACGCTCCAGGTAGCAGTTCTAACGGTCCCGCGCCTATTGTCCTTAAGTTAAGACGCACCGTGCGAGTGAGACAAGCGACGGTTTATGTAGGTGCGAATGAAAGAAAAAATATTGTAGAGATATCACGGGATATTGTTTTGTTTGTCAGTCTGCTTTTGTGCTTCGTACATAGTAGATGTGATATCGTTTTGCTCTTTTTCTTGACTTGGCTGTGATTCTGGACTGTTTTTTCCGATTTGTGACTACTGTGCTTGTTAACCGGACTTTGATTTGTACTTGTGCTACGGAAGTGTTGAAGATGACGTCGTACACACTTGAGGAATATGCTGATATGCTTATTTGTTACGGATACTGCGATTGTGTGTCTGCGCAAGCTCGCAAGAATACATAGCTCGATTCCCCGGTCGTCGAGTGCCGGATGTGGCTGTTTTTGACAGAGTTTATCGGAGACTTCGAGAAACTGGCTCTATTTTGAGACGAAATACAGACATGGGCAGACCACGAATTAATGACGACGAAGAACAGGACAATGAGATAGTGCAACGCTTTCGAGCGGATCCGACTACTTCCACTAATATTGTTGCCCGTGATCTGGGACTTTCGCAATGGAGAGTGTGGTTTACAGTGCATACTGCTGGCCTATACCCGTACCATTACACGCCGGTACACACTATTGAAGAAGGAGACCCCGCGAGAAGGTTGGACTTCTGCAGATTTATGCTAAATGCTGACGTAGAAGACCCAGATTTTCTAAGAAATATCTTGTGGACAGATGAATCCAAATTTGATAAAGATGGCATAACTAATTATCACAACGCGCAGAATAACAAAAAGTTGTGTGAAAACCTGATTTAATAAATACTTTGCATGCTTACCTATTGTTTTGTTATACTTTTTAGGGCTAAGTATTAATTTTCTCCTCCACTATCGCCTATGAAACTAAGTTTTTTCAATGCATTTAAATAAAACCCTAGATTGTTATACCTTGTTAGATAGCTGATGAAACGTAGATATTTTATAACTTATCTGCCGATCAACTGCCATAATATTTTTTTTAGATATCCCTTAGAGAAAAATAAACTTTCTAATTTTTTTTTTATTTCTTAACTTTATCTTTTCTACTACGGCGTATTGAATTAGCTTATTCACTATTTTAATGATTGAGGTCCTAAAGCATCTTATCACACATGTAAAAATGCAATAATTATAATAATAAGACACACAAAATAAACAAAATTAAATTTAGTACCCTAAAAATCGGCAATTTTGAATAAAAAAAATTAAAGTCAAATATCTCGAAAAGGGTTAAGTTTAGGGTAGGGTGTTTCATAGTAAAATAAGTCAGAAATGATGAGTACTCCACGCCCTTAACGGATCTAGCACGACTTTTCCTGTAACCCTGTATAAACCTCTTTTTTCATTTACTGTATAAAGTTAATGAAAAAAGAAGTTCTTATACAAACACTCAAACTTGATTGGAAGGCCACCTTAATTTACTATCTTAACATGTAGAAAAACCTCAGCTTATCAGCTAAGTACAAAGTATAACATCATAGTAGTCAATAAGACAACAAAACTAAGCTTCTCTTTATTGGAGGAGTTACAGTCATTTCTATTGCATATGTAGCAACGTGCGTTGCTGTGGCCCCTAGCTCGTTCTACAGCCATGAGGCCGTGGCATACTGAATCCACTTGAAGTTTAGGAATGCAGCCTTTTATGACGTCAATTGTGTTACCATCTGTAAAGAGAAGTACAAGTTCTTAAAGGCTTAAAATATTATACGACGTTTTAGCCGTAGCGTTATTCTGAGTGTTCGGTTTTTGTATTTTTTGTATTGTTTTTGATTAGTAATTATAACAAACTAGTGAAGTAATTTCACATAAAAATACTGAATATCAATTAAATAAAAAATTAAATACAATTAATAGCGACATCTCTAGCCGGGGCTGGTAGCTGTAAAGGTATCTCCCTGGGTGACGAAATATCATAGATTTCATTAGAAAAAATCGTTGAAAAAACTAAATACAAAGATACGACGCAAGCGCATAGAAAAATTCGTGAGGTCCGCTGGTTCGTTCCGTGGCTTAGTTGGTATAGCATCTGGCACGGTATGGTAGAAGACGTCGGTTCGAATCCGGCCGGATCAAAGGAATTTTTTCTGAGTGTTCGGTCTTTGTATTAATATTTATAAAAATTTAACTTTTACAACAAAACGTTTTTTTAGTAAACATAAACATTTATTGCAATATTTGTCATTTTGGAATTGGTCTTTTTTACATTTTTAAAGTTGCAATGTTGTTTATTAGTTGATAAATATATCTATATAATACCTATAAATAATATCTAATATAAATAAATAATATCTATAAATAATACTTGACTGCTTTGGGTTCGGGATGATTACAAATTTACAAAAGGTGATTGGTTATAGGATTAAATTTTCAGTCGGTCTCCGATATAACTTTTACATAACATGATATACAAAAATAGATTACTGTCAGACTGTCAGTGTACTTACATGATCTGTCATCTGGTGTGGCGACCATTTTCAAACACCTGTATTCTATAGGTACCTTGGAATCTGTTGATGGTGGCGGGTGTCCAAGCTCATGGAGCCACTCTGCGGACACCCAGTTTGATGGATGACATTCTTTTATAGTTCCTTTGAAGATATCTGTCTCTTGGGGATGGCAACTGATGCACCTTTGGTAGTAACAGCTTTCTGGTGCCACTGAAAAAGAAGTATATAATAAATATGCTACTGTGGTGGTTTAACGAAGTGTGTTTGTCACGGTGGTTGTTTTTCTCGGAAACTTCTATGGCCATTGACTTCATCTATCCGACGTGTACCTGGTGCTGGACTATCGCTGTTACGTGGTGTTTGTAGTTTATCATTTGACTCTATCAATTCTATGAATTACCAGTAATGTCATCTTCACTGTCAACTTCTGCCGGTAGCAATGAATCAGGTTATCAATTTAAAAGCAAAACTTGCAGCTGCCGTGGTAATACTTGACGTATGATGTTTTGCACTTCCAACGCATATGGTTCAATCGTGTAGAGATCAAGCGTACAGATGGATTTTTTTACTATGCGAATGATGGTGAAAAGATTGTTTTTTATTCTGCGCTTGCGTCAATTATTTGATCTTTATAATCGATGTATCACAGTAGTCTTAGTTTTTACCACAACTTATGTAGGGTATATACATTTTTTTATCTGCATGCTGTGCCTACAATATTATGTAAGTATGGACTATTGCGATAGTTCAAAGAATTCTTTGCATATTCCGTGAGTCAATTTAGCTATATACTAGACCTTATTTGGGTGCATATGTAAGTATACATTGAGTACAATTATGTAAGTACGTATCATACACGCGGTACCACACGAACCTTTACTTAGGTCCCATTATTACTGAAAGGTTTCTTTAGTTGCTTAGAGTAATCGATCGCATTGCCAGCTGTATAATGGTCACTTCAGAACACCGTTTATGTTTGTTTTAATCGCCGCAATCATATGCCATTTTCTTGCGTTTCGCGCTATTTTGCTGGTCATCACCCCGTCGTTGAACCGATCTTTGCGCGTACGCAGCGTAATTATTGAAACCGAGAGAATCCGCTCTCGATGCGTAGGTATGCCTCACCACTTATACTAAGCCAATTTAAAACGAACCCTGACAGATCAATGAGGGATGGTCCACCACACTCGTTCAATGCGGTTTCTAATATAACCAACCTTGTCACTATGGGTCACTGATCGGAGCTCATCTTACTACGGATGAAATATAACTGGATTGTGTTCTTTCGCTTTTTAACGAAGATAGTGTTTATCATTACTCAGTACTTCAGGTACAGCTACTATTTATCGGTAGGTGCTTAATTGGCTATCTTGAACGGAAACTAAGGGAAAGTGTCTGCATGGAATCCGGAGTAAGAATACTTCTTTTTAATTTCCACACGATCGTTTATTAAAAGTTATAAAACTATATGGTGCTTTTCTGATATATTATATATATGTGATATATATGTGATATATATATCATATATATATGATATACAATACACAAGGCCTTCAAAATGAGGGTACCTAACTAAAATAGAAGCTTGGTTACAATTTGTTACTAGGTACCTACATTAATTGACGGCTGATTTATTTTGTTTAACGTGATTTACCACGGCAACAGGGAAGGAGACAGGAGAGAAGAGCGACCTGGTAATTAAATCTTCTATTGAGCAAAAATTTGATGGCAATTTGGCAATTTCAACGTGTAAAAAGCATAAGTAGGTAGCTTCTCGACATAACTACTTACAGTTAGAAGACTGATGCGGTGATGGTTACTTTTTAGAGAAAAATTAAATGATCACGTTAAGCAACGCTGTGTTTGATCCATTGATGCGTGAAGCCTGCGCGGGCGCCAACGCCTGCCGCGAGAAAGTCGATGATCGGCGGCTGACATAATTGCTCAGGCGCTGCGTACGCGACTATTGTAACACTAGCCCATTGCGATAGCGATATTGCGGATATTTGCACGGTTGGTTTCTTAATTCTAAATAAGGTAGAGAATGACTAAAATTCTTTGTATAAATATTATGCAAATATCAGCTTAGTTGTTAAGATAACGAGTATACTTACAAATATTTACCACCAAATAAGTTTAACCAGGCAGAATAAAACGAAAAATACAATTATAACTCTTTTGCAAGCAAAAACAAAGTTTTATTTGGCGCAGGCACAAGGCTTCCCTAAAACAATCGTGAATGTTATTTTTTGGGCATAAGGCCGTACCTGAATTCTACACATCTGGAAAATTTGGAAATTACAAGTATTTCTATTATGAGCTTTATTTAATGATTTTAACGTTAGGTATTGACTAATAAGTTTTCGTACTTAATTGTCTTATATACCATAGTAGGTATAATAAAGGGATTCCCGACTGTTCGGCGCGTAAATGCCTACACTTCGCTCGGAGCGTAAGGTTGTGGTATATACAGGTTGTAAATATAATTTAAAAAATTATGGTGTTTATCACAGTATTGTCGTGCTATATTGTGACCACCTTTGTTAAATGCAGTGGGGATATAGGAACGTATTAATATTATTATACCAGCATTGCGGCTGGAATCGTGATTATGGAGTATGATCATGAAATATGGATAAAATGCTGAAAAATTCTGAATTCTGAACATGTTCAATCCTTTCATCATGATGGGAAGCACTATAGTGTATGTCATCAATACGATCAGAAGGAGAAGAAGACAATAAGCGCGTTTGCTCACTGCATCCGATTCGTATTCGTTCCCAATCCGAGACTGTACAAATGTAGAAAACTCGGATCCATTTTGGATGTCGCTTGTGCACTAAGTCCGATTCGGAACTGGGGGTCTACTGTCGATCTCCGTCCGAAACAATTACTGCCAAATAAGTAATACTTGACCAAATGAAAAGACGCGTGATGCGATTGAAGCTTCCTACTGGATACTAGTCTTTTAATTTTGTCAAATATTACTTATTTCACAGTAATTGTTTCGGACGTATGTCGGACGGAGATCGAGAGTAGACCCCCTGATGCGAATTGGACGTAGTGCGCAACCGCTCTTAGTCATTAATACGATAACATAGGTATAGACGTGACAATATCCTGATGTATAACATTTACGGCCCATTACTTGTAAATTGTCTATATACGTTATATCGTTATATGTAAAATAACTTTTGTTCAATTATTTAATACTATATCATTTTGAGAAGTTTTTCGAAAAATTGTAGGTGATTGCAGCACTTGGATAAAACAGGATGTTTAACTTATAATCTCTGACATCGCGATAATATAGCCGTTTATCAACAAACGGTGACCTAAATTCATAACGAGTGTTGATGAACAATCTTCACCCACGCTAGCCTAGCCAGCAGCTTGACTGACGAGTTGACAATGTAAATACGATTGTCGACGGAATAAATAAATAAATATTTATCTAAGCAGTTGCATCCAGATGCATCATTGTGTTATAATTCAACCGTGGAGGCGGATGATCATATATGAATATTTCAATAATGCGACGTGACGTAACAACTTGTTCTATTTTTTAAATAGTGGCTACAACAAAGAGTACTGATTAATTTAGTAGACCCCGCAAACAAAAAACAAAAACAATAGGATACTGTTTAACGACCCTTATTTTATGAATTATTTAGTGTTCAAAAACAAATCAAAAGTTATATAGAAACATTACAGATGAAAATTTGCAGCTAACATTTATATATATTTAGTCATCTCACAAAAAATGAACAATTTGTTTATTCGACTACCTACGTACCTCTATCTTTTATTCTGCCTGCATCTGGAAAGTTCATACGTAGGAATGAACATAAATAACATATCAGTACCTAAATACATTGTTAAATCGAATGGAACGATATGAATGGGAAGCAGGAAGATAGTTTAATAATAGATTCTAGCAAAAGTGCGTGCGTCATGCATACCAACATTGTTATTTTCATCCAGTTCGTATTAAGTTTCATAGTACTATTTACCTTAAATTACAAATGTCTATAGTCTAAGCAGCACAAAATAATATATGTCAGTAGGTGTATCGGTTTTATTCACTACACTATGCCTTTAAGGCCTCTACATACAGGTACTACTCATAAAATACGACATTAGTGTGAGTCATATTTTTTAGATAATTAATTAATGTAAAAAATTATTAAATTATCTTTACATATTATTACAGAGATCATAGTAAGCAAATAACTCTCACTTTCGTCGTTTTATTTTTTCAAACGTAAAATACATACCAATATACTCGTATAAATAACATTTAAAAATATACTAGTATAAAAATGGACTCACCAGTTGACACAAAACAGATCAAAATAACGGCAAACACTATCATTTTAATACATTTAAAACAGAGAATATCACTTATATCACTGACGATTTACAGAAATGTGCGTTCGAGCAGCTCTTTTTATCTATACTAATCTGTACTAGAGCTATTTTATCGTGTAAAAGGTAACTCTTATCGTGAAATCGTAAATTACTTTTTGCGGTCTTTGTGGAAAATATAGACGCATAATTACGAACATACGAATATTAAAGACAATAATCTTCCGAATCTATACCGACTTCTAAGGAATGTTCTGTTTAATTCTTGAGACGGGTTTCCTCGCGTTGATTATTAAATCACGACGCTTTAATATGAATTGTAAATCTTTCATTATCTGTTGTGACGGTAAGGGCATTGTCATGTGTCGGGGATAAGCAGGAAATAATGTGTAATTTGTTCTGTAAGTATACAAATGGTAAATATGTTATTTCCAACTGTTATATTTTCGAACTCAATGTTTAGTTTAGTGTTTAGTATTTTTTAACCGACTTCAAAAAAAAAGGAGGAGATTCTCAATTCGACTGATGTTTTTTCCTTGTATGTATGTTGCGCGATGACTCCGGCATTTGAGAACCGATTTTGATGATTCTTTTTTGTTGGAAAGAGGGTACCTCAGTATTAGCAGTATTGGCCGTCCCATTTAATGGTCCCATTTAAATTTGAAGAAAATATTCCATCTCTTCCGGTAACCGATTTCAATAAAACTTGGCAAATAGATGTAATTCCACGAACTTTTGAGGTCGGTTTTATATTCTCATCTATGTCACATCGAATTTTGTGTATTGTAAAAATGTAGGCATATAGGTTCTATACTTAATTGAGCTTGTATTAAACTGTGACGGTGTGACCTCCTTACACCGTTATCTCACCTCTTTGTATCGCCCCTCTCCGCTTGTATCCTATCATTTTTTATTTTACATGTATTTAAATTTTAAATTTTAATTGTTCCATCTTCCTTCACTTTCTCATTTTGTTTTCGTATCACGGTCACTCCCAGCTCGACCGCCACAACAGTCGGAGCTGTTTGAAATTCCATTTACTAAAATCTTATTTTTGATTCTTTACCAAGTTATAATACAAAAAATAATACAACAGTCGGAGCTAAAGAATTATCAAAAATTTGGTGTGGAAAAAACAATGGTTTTTCGACCAAAAATGAAGCCAAACCCGGATGTAATGGTGCCGCCATTGAAACCCTGGCTATTACACGAATATAAAGATTTGTACAGACGCTTTCTGGCGCTTTTCACTGGTGCCCGAACTAATTCTCAAGAACCCTTTCATTGGCTGAACTTTAAGAAGAAAATTCCAAGCTAAAATAAGAAGAAAACACAGTGAAATATTTTATTCATGAAAACTGTCAAAGTGCAAAAGTGTCATCACATAATTCATTTACACTGTAAATCACCTACACACCTCATATTACAGACAAGAGACGACGCCGTTACATTCAGCTGGTTACAAATGTAACTGAACCCATAGTTGGTGTACCGGTAGCGCTACAAAACTATAAATACTTTCTGCTGATGGATACGAACCTGCTATCTAAAGAGATTATTATTATGTAGGTCATTGTTCGTGCAAATAAAAACCAAACACAGGTGAGGGGCTTTACTTTTTGCGATTTTTCAACGGCTTTTTTTCAAGTAGTAGTATTTTATATGATAATAAGACTTTTACCTATGGTAGTAATTCTCTCCGGTTAATTCTTTACTCTGAACAAATAAAATTAACGAAATTAAATTATTATTTCCGATGAGAAACTTTGTGTTTTGCAAGTACCTACTAGTAAGAATGTAGAAAGGAATTTAACTGTTCAGCTACCTAACGTGCTAAGACTGTAACAACATGTGCACACATAAGTATTGGAGTTTTATCACATTGGTCACTTACTATAACAATGTATGTTTATTTGTCTCAGAACAATATTTAGTATGATAAAACGTTGAAGTAGGCGTTTACTAAACGACTTAAAGGTAAAAGTTTTAGTTTTAACAAACTGGTTAATTAGTGTCCATTTTAGAGTACCGTATCTATGAAATTTGGCACGGTAGCTTGTTGGGTTACTTAGTTTACTCGTACTTATAACAATAACCTTATTAAAGAAAAAAAATATTAGTCTCGAAGTTGTGGTTTTGACTTCTGTATTAATAATTCAAGTCTTTTTTTATAATATTAAGTGACGGGATGAACAAGTCGTACGCCTGGTAGTAAGCGACACTCCTATCCATAACAGTTGCCGTGCCATTCAGAGCTTTAAATCGCAAAAATCTTATGGGCATTGCCATTGCGCCCATCACTCTGAGACATAAGTTGACAAGTCCCATGTGCCTGTAATTTCACCAGCACCCTTACTTACCCTTCTAAGCTGGAACGCAGTAATGCTCACGTAACTGCTTGGCGGCAGAAATAGGTAAGGTGGCAGCACTTCTCTGGACGAATTCTTTCACAAGGAGCTCTACTGCTACTATATACTACTATAATTAAATTTGTTAATACATATATATAATACACTTTCCTGTTAACAAAATAACAAAAGGAAATACTAATAAATAGCGAAGGTTTCACATAGGAAATGGAACCATTTTTTCGTATCTAAATCGCTTAGGTATATTCATTGACATACAAATAAATGGACGACGGGTCTAATACAAAAACCACGAAAAAAATGTCCCAAGTCAACCTATTCGAAATTTAAATTGTAATGTCATCGCAGTATCGCGCTGTCAGTCGAACAAATGAAGACTAAAGCGGAGTGTCGCGCTCTGTATACGATATTAGCGCCTTACAAGTGCGGACACTTTTTAGCGTGGACCCGACGTCCATATAATTGTAAGTCAATGGGTATATTGGTTGTTTTAAATAAACCAACGTTCCGCCATTTACATGTCCCATAGTCACTGCTGAGTTTAATTTTCTATATAACAATCGCAAAAATCTAAGAACTCTATAAATAAAATTTAACTACACCTAAAACTATCTTGTTTGAGAGCAATTTTTTTATTTATCACTGCACACTTTTTATGCATTTTAATTGGCCCGTATATCCATGTTTAGTGATCGTCCCAAACATTGGCAGGCGTAGGCGTTGATAAATGATCACAAAAATACTCTTAATTAATACAGTCCAAGTACGAAACGAAAGCCGCTGTATTATCGTACACAAACCGTCAATATCTGCAAATATAAATCTTCAAAGGCACCGCCGAGACTTCTAAAGGTACTTACAATAAAATTAACCCACAAAATGTCAAGTTTGATGACAAAAACTAATTGCTCTTTTAAACTAGTCGTTTGAGTAAATTACACTGTCTATTTTGCATTCGTCAATTAATTACAAAAGATTAGATGTAGAGAAATTATACGTACAATTAATTTCAAAATGGTGCAAAATTTTGAGTTGCGTTTTCATTACATCCACTTATGAATTCAGGTATATTCAGGTATTACTTTAAAAAAGGAGGAGGTTCTTAATTCGACTGTATTTTTTTGTATGTATGTTACGCGATAACATAAAATTTGTGAAGCGATTTTTCATGATTCCTTTTTTGTTGGAAAGAGGGTACCTCAGAGTTTCAATTTGAAGAAAATTATGCCACCTGTAAGGGCGGCAAACTAGCGGATGAATCCGGGTTCGCGCACCTACCTACCCGTAATCGATTTCAAAAAACTTGGCAAATAGATGTAATTCCCTGACCTTGGTTTTTTTAGTACTCTGTACTGAGATTATTTAAATCAAGATACAGTCTATCTACAATTAATAAATCAAAGAATAGTACATTGCTTTACTAGGGCAAAAGTGGATTATTGCAAACGAGTAGACACTGTAACTTCCAGTCTCGAATTTTAGCGTCACGAGTTCGTGACACAAATGTATTGAACACACACCACGTTCAATACATTTGTGAGAATCAGCGCATTTTTTCTGTTTTTCACATTAAGAAAATATATAAGGCGCAATACATTTGTCTCTAAAATTCGGTGCAAGATAAATTATCTTTTAAATAAACTTTAAGCGTTAAAGTATGAATACGTACGCTGTTCTAAGGTTCTAGTGACTTTAAAATGAAATGTCTGTGAAATGTCTGTTTGAGTGTAAAATTCAGTATCTCGTTAAAAAATTATTAATTTGTTATTGTTTTAGTTAATTTTGAATTTTTTTAATAAGATATCGCTTTAGACACTTCGTACCAAAATTCGTGTATTTTTTACAAGTTCCGTTGTAGCAAAGGATTCAAGATATTAACGAGATGTAGGAAATTATGTGCGATTTTGGTTCGCCAGATTTCGCGGTGCAAAAGATAACTGGCAAATGAACTCGACCGAAATGAAATTGACCTGCTGAATTCTGCGCTATACCTAAGGCTTTCAATCTCGCTGCATTTCTGCGTCCCGGGAAAAAATCGACACTCAGTATCGATTCACTCGGTCTCGAAAATCCTGGGAAAACCGAGACTTTCGAGACTACTTCAAAAGTAGGTGTAGTAGTAAACCATATTTATGGGCTAGGCATTTGGGCAGTTATGACATGATATCTTAATTAACTTATTAACTAACTAAAATAATAAAATAAAAAATTATTTATGACAGTTATTTTTAGATTTTTTTAGTTGTTACCTAAGAAACAAAGGCCGTTTAAAGTTACAGACACTGATTTTATTACATCCGTTCTTCAATCTTCATTCATTATACTAGTAAAAAGCATTATTACACTATCCGATTTCAATAGCCCTGCATCAAGGGTGGGCGTGGCCCCTAACTAGGGTGCCGTTCATATTTAAATATAAGTCGCCCATTTAGGCACTTTAACTCTCTGACTCATTACACCTTTTATTAGAGTTTGGGTCGCTTGAAATCGTTTAGTGTAATAAGCATTTAAGGTCTACAGTGTTGACATAATTGAAGCCGATCATCACAAACTACGGAGTAATTAGCAATGTTATTTGATGTAACTATATACATATTCGCAATACCATGTTATAACGAACCAGTAAAATGGGTACAGCATTTCCTATAGTTGTCCTACGAGCAACACTGATTGAAACTTAATAAATCAACACAGAGAAGAAGGAGTTTTG